ATTCTGTTTTATATGAATTCCATGTTGTACGAGTCACTTAGATTTTACAAATACGTGTGCCAGGCTGTGAACAGCTCACGTATTTGTAAAATCTAAGTGACTCGTACAACATAGAATTCATATAAAACGGAATAATCAACAGGGTTATAGGGGGGGTCAACTGTATTTTAATTATTATAAAATGACAAAAAGCTTAAATTTGAGGGTAGGGATGGATTTTATAAAAAATTGTAAATTCTAATAACAAGTAAAATTATCATTAAGTCCAACCCTACTCGAGATATGGCATAGCCCCCTTTATCTCCTCACCCCATTAATCTTTAACCACCAAAATTTAATAGTATCAATCACAAATCACTCTAGTATACAAACTTCCTGTAAAATTTCATAATTTTTTGACAAAAAACACAAGAGTTATTAAGCTTCAAAGAGGACGAACAAAACTGTGTTCCCTCCCACACACACTATATTCCACACATATAGAAAAAAAACCTCAAATTTTTTTCATTTCTAAAGTCCTGAGTCCAAAAATGTAAAAATCATGGAGTGTCATTTTTTGACCAATTACCATGCTTTCCCTCTATTATACAGTGTGTATTTTTTATCTTGAGACAATGAAATATCTTAATTGGATCTCATTATTTTAAAAAAGTTATAGACAAAAGTTGTAGGGTGTTGAGGGGGCAATCAATTGATGACCTCATGACCTTAACCTTCAAGGTCATTTGGAGGTCAAGTCTGTTTTTTCAATGGGAACACATATTTTTGACATTGGAAATGGAAAGAGCAAAAAATTTTACATTCAGATATACCCTTAATCTTAAGGTCTAGGTCACCCCTTTTGTTATATATAACAAAAGCAGGAAAGTGAAAATAGAGTTTAGGTCATTTTTCATGTGTTAGACAAAGTTTGGTACATTCTCAGGGATGTGTTAAAATGGAATTCAGGTAAGCTTTGAAAAATGTGTCTGTGTTAGAAGAGAAGTTTGGGAGAGACTTGCTGTATACAGTCGACCCCCCTATAACACGGTAGATACGTTCCGTTCTTTATGAATCCATTTTGTACAAGTCCTTGCCAATCACAGCCCAACACGTGTGAAGTTTATGGACTACAGCTGTTTGAAAGGTTTTCTTCCATAAAATTAATCGATTCCTAGACTAATTCGACTCAACATTTCCAAAATACATATATTTTTTTGGGAATAATCCGTATAAACTATGCTANAAATAAAGAATTTATTTCTTTAAAAACCTTTTATATAAAAACTGTAATAACCTAATCTGTAATTCTTGTTTTAATATAAAAGATTTTTAAAGAAATAAATTCTTTATCTTAAATATTGATATTGATTAAATCATTATTTTAACGCTGAATTAATCTATATCTGCTTTCAGTTTATCACAACAGAATAAGCACGTGAAAATTATTTTAAAATATGTATGTACATACACACATATTTTTAAACATGTATCAGTATATATTTTTAAAATAGCAGATCAGAAAATAACTTTACTCACTCAGATAGTCCCAATTCTAAAGAAATTTCATCTTCTTTATTAAAAAGCAATATCAAAAAATGATAACGCGTTTGTCCTTGTTTAATTGGTGGATCTAAACTAAGCTGAAAAAAATTAATTTTTCTAAGAAACTGTTGAAAGAAAAAAAATAAAATAAACATATATGATTAAATATTAAAAAATGAATACTTACTACAAAAAAAGTTTGTCTGTTATCTTTATGGGGAAGTAAGAACAGACGTAATACTGTACTAAGTGGAATTTTGTAATCAAATGTTTTACCATGGAGTTGGATAAATGAAGGAAAAACTTTGATATCATAACGACCTCTGAAAACATAATTTTATGAAATTAAAATATTTTCCGTGCACGAATTTCAACCCACTTCCGGAGCCTCACAACAGTAAATTCAATTTACCCGCCTAAACTCTCTGTAGCATGGCGCTGGACAGCGGAAAGTAGTTTGGCTGCCCGATGACGTTTTAACAAATTATAGGAGTTTTTTTTACCATGTTTGTACGGATACCATCGCAATTTTTTTGCCGTCATATAGGAATCCGAACTATAGGAACCCGTGTTATAGGGGGGTCGACTGTATTCAACAATGAACTTATCTTCTCAATGGATGAAAGTTTGTGTCAGTTATAACTTCTACAATTGCTACAATGAGAAAATCCTACTCATTGCTAACAATGAGAAAACATGCCCATTCCTGAAAGCACTACTACAGGAAACAAAATGAAATTGTAAGAATATTTTCTTTGTAACTCTCTCTTTCAATGTGAGCATAGTTGAGTGTCTGAACAAATATAGGTTATGGTTCAAGTTAGTTCCTTGATGCAGTCAACTTTTGTCAACAGTTTCGAGTCAGAAAACAGAAAGTAGTTTTACTTGGTTTTAATTTAGAAATTATTTTATTAATTTTTAGAATTTACAACAAAAATTTTTTATAAATTTTTTACCGATCCCATTGTTTTAAATTTTATGAATATATTTTGTTTTTATGTTATTTGTTGTTATGAATTTAACTGAAGGATTAATTAAACTTTCTTAGTTTTTTAACAAACTATTTGGTGGTGAATGACTTCCATCCCAGACCCATGTTTAGTGAGACACTTTCTATAAAAGATGTGCCAATCTATTGATCAGGTCAACTGATCTGTCATGAGCATTGTAACCAATGTAATCAGGCAGAATCTAACATAGCTTATTGGTTAGAAATCTTAAAAATTAAAAGTTGTAAAAATATTTATTATCAATAAAAATTTTCAAGGCTTCTTCAGCTTATGTCAGACCATTCAAAAAACATTTATCCAGTCAAACAAAACTTTCCTAAAATCTTTATGAGGATCTTGAATAATCTGATACTGAGACTAAAGAAGCCTGGTAAGCATTTATTTTAAGGTTGGTGGATATCAAGAAGCAAGTGGATGGCAGGGGGAGGTGCTGGAGGCAGGATACTAACCAAATGGAGACAATAGGCAAGAATTAGGGTCAACAATAAACCTTTCCCATTCCTCTATTAAATGGTAAGAAGAAGCACTGCATTTAATGATTTCCAGATGTATAGAACAATGTATATTAAGGACACAAAGTGCAAGGTTCATAGAAAAGTTTTTCAAGAATATTTCCAAGATTTTCTCACACAATGGAAAATGAGTTAGGAGGTGTTTGCATACGTTTATGGAACCAAGGGGCAGTGGCTCAAAAAAGTTTGGAAATTACTGGTATATTGGATAGTCCAACATGATCATCCAATATACAATTGAAGAACTCACAGGTGCCTGCTCCCTGTAGAACCTCCTGGATCCACAACTGTGACTGCATATATGGCATGATATGAATATATTCACAGTCTTTAAATTTATTTTTTATTAATGTAATATTTGAGATCTACAAAATATTAAAGTATTTGTGGATAGTTCAAGGATTTACCCATCCCTAATTTATTCCTATTGTTTAAGTTAACTTCCTAACCAGTAAGATATTTCTGTTTTGATTTTCAGTGGATGCATAGCAACCTTTATAATGAATTTCAGTTAAGGAATTGACTGTTTTTATTCTGTTTATGTGCATAAAGATTTGTTTACTTGTGAAATTTAAATCAGAAATGAAGTCACAGATATTAAAATATATAAATTATTTTTGAAAACTTTACATATATTCAAAGACATATCATAAAAATTATAATCACAACAAATTCAGTGTGGATGGTGCCCCAAGTCAGATAAAATTTATGGATTACAAATCAGATGATCAGTGTAAAATCATAATGCACATGAACAATAAATGATTACTCTATTCAAATTTTGTCAAAATTAATCCTAAAAGTATTATATTTTAGAGTAAATTTGACAAAATTCAAATAGATCAATCACAGAAAAATAAATCTATTTACTGTATTAAGAGATAACAGTAAAGAAATTTATTTTTCTACAACATATATATATATAAACGTCCTTTTATTACTCCAGTCCTGGAATTAAATTGTCACATCTTGTGTATATACATACATACAAGGTGTGACAACTCCAGGACTGGGGTAATAAAAAAACACAAAGAACATATAATGAAAAACCCTTTTAATATCCCTGTAAGTAATCTCCCTGGAGGGCAATGCACTTCTCGCAATGCTTGTACAAGTTTTTGAAACACTTGGCAAAGTCACTTCCGTTGACAGCTCTCAATTTCTTGGTCATTGTGCTGTATGTCCTCCAGGTCACTGAATCTTCATCCCTTCAATGTGATTTTGATTTTCAGAAACAAAAAATAGTTGCAAGGCGACAAATCTGGTGAGTATGGAGGGTGGTTCAACTCCACAATGACAACAGTCAATTGCATTNTGTAAGTGTCACAGATGCTGGTGCAATGCGTGTGTGCCCTCCTTATCCATGAATGAAAAACTGTCATTTTTATATGCTCAGGGTCTGTGGAGTTCCTAGGAATGACAATAAGAAGACAAGTGGGTTTCCAGTATATATCTGTTCTGATTTCCCCTTCTTTGCAAGTTATAGATAAATCCAAAAAATTAACATTGCTTCCACTTTCCTGCTCCGGTTAATGTCCAGAGTCATGGACTGTCATGGCGGCTCTTCCTGTTTTAGCCTCAAAACCGGACCGCTTTGGAGACGACGTGTCACGTGACAACGCGAGCGAACGGCGGCGGCTGCTGCTGCGCCGCGATAAACGGGGAAAATCGACGCGCGGGTTAACGTCCATATACGTAGACTCATGGCGGCTCATCTCTGATTCCGCAAAAAGAAAAGGAAACAGTGGGGACGCACGTTCTAACCTAACCTAACCTATTCTAATAAATTAGCACAATTATTACCGATTAAATTATTAGAATAGGTTAGGTTAGGTTAGGTTAGAACGTGCGTCCCCACTGTTTCCTTTTCTTTTTGCGGAATCAGAGATGAGCCGCCATGAGTCTACATATATGGACGTTAACCCGCGCGTCGGTTTTCCCCGTTTATCGCGGCGCAGCAGCAGCCGCCGCCGTTCGCTCGCGTTGTCACGTGACACGTCGTCTCCAAAGCGGTCCGGTTTTGAGGCTAAAACAGGAAGAGCCGCCATGACAGTCCATGACTCTGGACATTAACCGGAGCAGGAAAGTGGAAGCAATGTTAATTTTTTGGATTTATCTATAACTTGCAAAGAAGGGGAAATCAGAACAGATATATACTGGAAACCCACTTGTCTTCTTATTGTCATTCCTAGGAACTCCACAGACCCTGAGCATATAAAAATGACAGTTTTTCATTCATGGATAAGGAGGGCACACACGCGTTGCACCAGCATCTGTGACACTTACAAAGAATTGGAATATATCCGAAACATAGCGATACAGCAAGGGTACCGTAGAGAAAGAATAGATGGTCTCATTGCAAATTGTTGGCGGCGCCACCCATCTCAGGGAGGGAATCAGCATAAAGAAAGAGTCATGCTCAATTACATACCGTTTCTCAACAATTTCCTTATTTCTGGTAACTTTCTTAACCGTTCCTTTGGGGAACGGTTAAGAAAGTTACCAGAAATAAGAATATACAGATAGTTTACAAGCATAATCCCACCGTATACAGGCTCTTAAGGAATGATAAAGGCAGTTACAAACGCAACACGATGGCAGAAGTATACTCTATACCGTTAAAAGACTGTAGATTTAACTCTAATCTGGTATACATAGGAGCAACCATGAGAAACTTAAAGAAAAGAATTGTTGAACATACTCAGTGAATAAAAACATAGACTCTATGGTGCTTGCTGCCTTTGCCAAGCAGCAGAATATCGAGGTCTTTTGGGATCATGCATCGATCATCAAGGCTACAAGATCCAGGCAGGCATTGAAACATCTGGAAAAAGTATAAATTCACAAGGCGCAGTCGCACACAAAGGATTAATCATAGGAATACTGACGGATTGTCATCAGCATAAAAAATCCTTCTACGATGAGTTGACGTAGTTTATGTAAGTGGGAAGGTTAATTAAGATAATTTTTTACTGGATGTATATATTTTATTTTATTTCTTTATTTCGTTTTAATTATCTTGTATAATTTTTGCAATTATTTAAGCTTGGTAAATGTTAACGTATATTTATGTAACAGCTTTTTGAATTTTTGTTTTACATAATTTCGAATTGTTCGTTTGATTCAGAATGATAACTGAGGATGATCGCTTAAAGCATTCAAAAGCATTTTTAAGATATTAAAAAACAATTTGCTGGATTGTTTAAAGGTTTTGAAAATAATAATTATGTGAGATCTTTTTATAGAATCTGATCACTTTGCATAAGTATACTGATATAAATATAGTAAAAAATATAGAAGTTTTAACATCTTACAATCTCATTATCTCAAATAATTTTCTTCAAAACAAATTATCTGATAGAATAAAACAGATTGTATGGAAAGTAAAAGATAACTCACATAAAAGTAACCTCATAAACTCAACTTCTATAGTTTGAAAGCTTATGCCAAGTGAGTGCTCAGAGAGTAACAAGTGAAATTTAAAAGATGTATAACAACATTTCAAAAATGCTGAAGGACACTATTTCTCTATAAGATCATTAACATTTTCACTGATGAACTCAGATATGTGTTCTTCTACATGCTACATTACAAATGCCTGTGTAAGTGACAGTCATTTTCAGCTTATGGTATAGAAATGTACAAATAAATTACTATTGTAAGACATTCGTAAGGTATTGATTGCTTTAATTTCTTCTGGGCTACTTTTTTATGGACTAACTATGTAATGGAATAGCTTATAAAAGTAGTAATGTAGTGATACAGGCAATCACTAAGCTTCTGTTTAGATAATTAAGTATAGTAATGTAGTGATACAGGCAATCACTAAGCTTCTGTTTAGATAATTAAGTATTAACATTTTTTTTTATATATATGAAAAGAAATACATTTATATTAATAAATACATTAAATAAATAGCCTTAGCAACAAATTAAATTATTTAATTTTACAGTACACTACCATGAATCTATGATCCCAATGATCAGGTGTTGAAGAAGGTTGAAATGCTGGTTGCAAAGATGTTAGAGTAGGACCTGATGGAGGCTGAGATGGTGGAACTATTAGTGCTGACATTTTAGTTTCATCATCATTCACTTGTAAACCAAAAATTTTTGGCTCCAGACTAGCTTTGATGGCACCAATATCAATGTCTAGATAAAATCATAATCAAAATATATTGTTAATATTTCATAATCATAATATTTTAAAATATAAAATTTATTTATATGTATGCTTGCATATATTTAAAAATTTTCTGTAATTCTTGTTTAGCAAAAAAATAGTTTTTAATAAAACATTTTCTTCTTCGCAGATTAGTGTAATAAAATATATAAGCTGACAATCAAATAAATAGAGTTTCTTTCAAGAGTAATTGGCATTTTCATTTGTTTGTGTTGCTGCTATTAACTGTAATCTAAAAATAAAATGATATGTTCATTTATAGATTTTCTATTGCAATTAGTATGCAGTAAAAATTCCTTAACAGATATTTTTAATGAATATTTGTGTGAATATTTAATGAATATTAATCATGTCATCAGTAGCATATTTCCATAACTTACTTTGTAGATTTACAGATTTAATAGATCTCAATAACAAAGACAATAAACTGTTTTGTAAAGCAATTAAAAAAAAAAAATANGGTTTAGTAAAAAATTTTTGGACAGTCAGTGTCTTCAATTAATTTATAAAAAAATAAATAAATATTTGAAAGATAGAAAGCCTGAAGATACAAGTATTTGTTAATAGTAAAATTTTTGCTGGTAGTAAGGTGTCTAGTGTTTATTTAGTAATTCAAACCAGCAGATTTGTTACATTTATAGTGATTTTTTCAAAAAAATAGTTTGCACAGTTTTAAAAACAATAAATTGAATATCAAACTCAGCTTCCTTTTAAAACATTTAATAAAACATTTAACACCTTATAACGCTGAAAATATTTATTAAATCACAAACGTTTTCAGCCTAATGGAATAGGCCATCATCAGGTGACAGGGCATCCGTGTCTACATGCTTTAATCTAACATCCTCTTTTCTATCCTAGTACTGACCATTACATGTTACAACCCAGTGATCACCTGAATCTCCTTCTCCTTTATCACCAAATGCAGTAACTTCTTGATTACCAGAGAGAGGTGAAAATAAATGACTATGAAGATGTTTTTGAGTTATTAAATGTTCTAATCTGATTGTGTCTCCACATGAAATAGGTTCTCCTCTTGTACATGTTTTTCCATTTGGTCCTTTAATTACCCAATGACTAGAAAGAAAGTTTTGTGCGTGATTGGTTATTTTTTGAATATAATAATTACATGAAATGGATGATTTTGTATCACGTGATTTGTATTCGCCAATGATAAGCGTCCGGAATTGTATGTAGTGTAGTCATGTATATAGTTTTTATCACTTCTGATGAGAAAGAAGATTGTTGGAGAGCATCGATATGCTAAATGCACCTTAGTGGTCCTGGCAATTTATCTATATATATTAATTAGAAAGTGTTTTGCTGTATGTGATAACTTTCATTCTGATGATGTCTATTTCATATAGACAAAAACATTAGTAAATTTTTCTTTTCATAGTGCTAGTGTTGGTTTTGTATGTGATGTATGAAACAGCACTCATACATTTCATTATTGCTATCTCCATTTTATATTACAGAATTTCAGTGGTTAATATTTTTTATTCAGATATATCTAGTTTTTTTCACAATGAAAATAAATGATTTTTAGGATTTTATTCACAATGCTATTATTTCATGGAATAAAAATTCTAAGATATTATAAAAGCAGATATTATAAACATAAGATTATAAAAACAAGGATTTAAAACTGGCATAATTTAGAGCTATAATAAAGTGACTAGACATCCTGAATTAGGCAGTACTACTTTTGAACTATTCATAATTATATTCAAAAATAGCTAATATTCACGCATGAGTAAGTCAAAGATGAAAAAATAACATAAAACAACAACTTACAGATAAAAAGTCACACCTTAAACTATATTTAATAAAGAAAAATATTTTTACCTAGTTGATAGGTCTATCAATTGAACTGATGAACTTCACATGGTATACACTCACAGTCTGAGAACAGTGAATGTACTGTATACCAAGTAATATTGTGTAAATCAGTTATGAAAAGAAGAGTTCATGATTTTCACTAATTATCTAAATTTTTTTACTTAGGTAAAAGGCAGTTAAAGCAAACAAACTATGCTCATAGCCATAATTAACTGTTTATTGCTGCTAATACTAAAGGTCGTTATTTTATAAATAAGAGAGTTTGACTGTATTCTTATTCTACACTGGCGGAAATTGAAAGTGTTACACCCACTCAGTATAGTCGAAGACATATGAAATTGGGGCAAAAGAATCTTTTTTTTGAAGGGTATTGAATGATCAAAAATTAAATGAAGTACATACAGTGGTATGGAAATTATGGAGACATTTGTTATGCAAAATTGCTATAGTGTTTAGTTTATAAGTTGTAAACTGTGTTAGGGAACATAACTTTTTTTGGTCCACAGGTTGTTGGTGACCAGCTATGCCATATTAATGAGTGAGAACTCTGTACACCCAAATGTCTGGCTTTGAAAGAGGTCAGATAATTGGCATGTTAGAAACGGGAGCATCATATTGTAAAATCACCCAAAGGACTGACCGTACTGCAATGTCAGTACAAAGAGTGGTCACAAGGTGGATGCAGGAAGTGTCCAGTACTCGCAGACCTGGCACAGATCCATGCAGAAGAATGACGCCACATGAAGACCACCATATTGTGCAGATGGCAGTTGCTAACAGATGGGCAATGGTGTGAGGTTTGCCGATTGGGGAGAAAGTGTCGCGACAGTCAAGCGGTCAGCACTGTCGTGTGGGAGTGAAAAAACTTACTGAGACAGGTTCTCCATCGTATACCGTTTAATAAATATAAAAATTTTTCTTACAACAAATCCTTAAAAACGGCGTAACACCTATCCAAAGTCGAGCAACAAGTTCGTAACACTAAAAGTTCAACTGTTCTGACGATAGTTTTTCTTCCAGCGATGGCGGCATGAAGACGTTGACTCCGGGCTGCACAACACTATTTGAACCAAGGTCTTCTATCTACAAGGTGGACTTTAGCAATCTTGATGGCACGGGAGGGTGAAGACAAGTCCTCCGAATATCTGACAAGTTCTCGTGGGAGAATGTCCGGATGACAAGAATCCTGGAGAGGAGCATTGCGAACCAAAGGCCAAGAACTACGAACCAAGAACATCACATCCTATTTTTGCGTGGTTTTTATAAGTTTTTTCTGGATCCAAGATTGAACATTCCGATAGGTCGATGCCGATCTACCCCTGCTCTCTAATTGGTCCCCTCCTCGTTACGAATTGTAACGAGATTGGTGCCCAGATCGCAGGGTGAGTCAACTCCGATTGACAATTTGATTCCTATCGAAGACGTTCGATCTAAGTACTCAAATTCATCCATTGTTTTAACCTGAGTAGTTCGACTTTCTTAGAAGTTTTTACAGATATGTCCTTATATGGACATAAAATATTCATTTTGTGTTTGATGGTTTCTTTTTACAATAAGATTAATAATTATAAAAATTTTTTTCATATGAAATTAAAATATTTTCCGTGCACGAATTTCAACCCACTTCCGGAGCCTCACAACAGTAAATTCAATTTACCCGCCTAAACTCTCTGTAGCATGGCGCTGGACAGCGGAAAGTAGTTTGGCTGCCCGATGACGTTTTAACAAATTATAGGAGTTTTTTTTACCATGTTTGTACGGATACCATCGCAATTTTTTTGCCGTCATATAGGAATCCGAACTATAGGAACCCGTGTTATAGGGGGGTCGACTGTATTCAACAATGAACTTATCTTCTCAATGGATGAAAGTTTGTGTCAGTTATAACTTCTACAATTGCTACAATGAGAAAATCCTACTCATTGCTAACAATGAGAAAACATGCCCATTCCTGAAAGCACTACTACAGGAAACAAAATGAAATTGTAAGAATATTTTCTTTGTAACTCTCTCTTTCAATGTGAGCATAGTTGAGTGTCTGAACAAATATAGGTTATGGTTCAAGTTAGTTCCTTGATGCAGTCAACTTTTGTCAACAGTTTCGAGTCAGAAAACAGAAAGTAGTTTTACTTGGTTTTAATTTAGAAATTATTTTATTAATTTTTAGAATTTACAACAAAAATTTTTTATAAATTTTTTACCGATCCCATTGTTTTAAATTTTATGAATATATTTTGTTTTTATGTTATTTGTTGTTATGAATTTAACTGAAGGATTAATTAAACTTTCTTAGTTTTTTAACAAACTATTTGGTGGTGAATGACTTCCATCCCAGACCCATGTTTAGTGAGACACTTTCTATAAAAGATGTGCCAATCTATTGATCAGGTCAACTGATCTGTCATGAGCATTGTAACCAATGTAATCAGGCAGAATCTAACATAGCTTATTGGTTAGAAATCTTAAAAATTAAAAGTTGTAAAAATATTTATTATCAATAAAAATTTTCAAGGCTTCTTCAGCTTATGTCAGACCATTCAAAAAACATTTATCCAGTCAAACAAAACTTTCCTAAAATCTTTATGAGGATCTTGAATAATCTGATACTGAGACTAAAGAAGCCTGGTAAGCATTTATTTTAAGGTTGGTGGATATCAAGAAGCAAGTGGATGGCAGGGGGAGGTGCTGGAGGCAGGATACTAACCAAATGGAGACAATAGGCAAGAATTAGGGTCAACAATAAACCTTTCCCATTCCTCTATTAAATGGTAAGAAGAAGCACTGCATTTAATGATTTCCAGATGTATAGAACAATGTATATTAAGGACACAAAGTGCAAGGTTCATAGAAAAGTTTTTCAAGAATATTTCCAAGATTTTCTCACACAATGGAAAATGAGTTAGGAGGTGTTTGCATACGTTTATGGAACCAAGGGGCAGTGGCTCAAAAAAGTTTGGAAATTACTGGTATATTGGATAGTCCAACATGATCATCCAATATACAATTGAAGAACTCACAGGTGCCTGCTCCCTGTAGAACCTCCTGGATCCACAACTGTGACTGCATATATGGCATGATATGAATATATTCACAGTCTTTAAATTTATTTTTTATTAATGTAATATTTGAGATCTACAAAATATTAAAGTATTTGTGGATAGTTCAAGGATTTACCCATCCCTAATTTATTCCTATTGTTTAAGTTAACTTCCTAACCAGTAAGATATTTCTGTTTTGATTTTCAGTGGATGCATAGCAACCTTTATAATGAATTTCAGTTAAGGAATTGACTGTTTTTATTCTGTTTATGTGCATAAAGATTTGTTTACTTGTGAAATTTAAATCAGAAATGAAGTCACAGATATTAAAATATATAAATTATTTTTGAAAACTTTACATATATTCAAAGACATATCATAAAAATTATAATCACAACAAATTCAGTGTGGATGGTGCCCCAAGTCAGATAAAATTTATGGATTACAAATCAGATGATCAGTGTAAAATCATAATGCACATGAACAATAAATGATTACTCTATTCAAATTTTGTCAAAATTAATCCTAAAAGTATTATATTTTAGAGTAAATTTGACAAAATTCAAATAGATCAATCACAGAAAAATAAATCTATTTACTGTATTAAGAGATAACAGTAAAGAAATTTATTTTTCTACAACATATATATATATAAACGTCCTTTTATTACTCCAGTCCTGGAATTAAATTGTCACACCTTGTGTATATACATACATACAAGGTGTGACAACTCCAGGACTGGGGTAATAAAAAAACACAAAGAACATATAATGAAAAACCCTTTTAATATCCCTGTAAGTAATCTCCCTGGAGGGCAATGCACTTCTCGCAATGCTTGTACAAGTTTTTGAAACACTTGGCAAAGTCACTTCCGTTGACAGCTCTCAATTTCTTGGTCATTGTGCTGTATGTCCTCCAGGTCACTGAATCTTCATCCCTTCAATGTGATTTTGATTTTCAGAAACAAAAAATAGTTGCAAGGCGACAAATCTGGTGAGTATGGAGGGTGGTTCAACTCCACAATGACAACAGTCAATTGCATTTGTCAGGCCAAAAATTCCATGACAACAGTCGCAGTGGGCAGGAATTGTCGTGCAGCAGTACTGAGCTTCCTCTTGCAGCAAACTGAGGCCTAACCTGATGAGTTGTCTCCAGATTGATACCAGTTGTCTCCGCTATCATCTGAATAGACATTCTACTGTCATATCGCAGCAAGTCTGATTTTTTCGATGTTTTCTGGAGTTCAAACTGATTGAGGTCGTCCAGAGCGAGCATCATCCTCAAGGTCTTTCCGATCATCCCTGAAACGTGCAAACTACACAAAAACGTGACAGTAGGATAGGGCATCATTCTCATAAACTTGCTAGATGAGAACATATGTCTCTGTTGCACTTTTACCTAACTTGTAACAAAACTTAATGTTCACTTTTTGTTCCATGACAAAAACATGATAGCACTTTCTCACAGCAATATGTGAATGGAGTACAAAAAAAAGAATGAGTTACGAGACACGAACAATCTTTGCAGACAAGTAGCCAGATGGTTGAACTATTATGACAAGCTTAGACAAGTTTCTGCATGCTGATACTGCAGTGCTACACAACTAGTCCTTGAATTAAATTGTCACACCTTGTATATAGATATTTTATACAGGAAAATAATTAGACAAATATTGTGCTTTATTATTTAAATAAGTATGGAAGTTAAACCTTGAGCAGAATGATCTCTAAGATAGTTTTTATATAAAATTGATTAAAATTATCAAAAAAGTATTTCATTATCTATAACTCCCTAAATTATTTCATATCATATTGAATTCATTTATTTCAAATGTTAAATTCTTTATTAACAGCAAAAAATTAAAAAATAAAACTTCTAAATGTATTAGTTCTCTTATAAACATTACCATAATTGTTATCATCGTCATCATCATTGTCATCATCTGGGATCTTTGAATTTGATACAGAATCATTGTCAGATAATGTTTTATCATCATTATGTTGAAAAGATTCTTTTATTAAACTTTGTTTTGAAGCATCCTATAAAAAAATAGTAACTTAATATCAATAGTTATTAGGAAAAATTATAATAAACTTTAACAATATATTTTGAATTAATGTTAGCTTCTTCCAACATTATATAGTATATATAGGTTAATGAAACAGAAAACTGACCAACAGAAAAAATATTCAGTACCATGTGAGTCTGGTTTTACTGTTTTACACATGTTTTACTGTACCACATTTCCCTGATTAAGATGCAGCATGAATTTGAAATCAAATTTTAAGGGTTTTTTATGAAGGAAAATTTTAAATAATCAACATGGCCACATAATTCATAAAAAGGAAACTTATAAAAACATAGCACAATTTCTTGAAAAGTCTCAATATAAAAGTACAGTTGGAATATCAGTGATGATTTCAAAGTTATAGATGCTCTACTTGGCTTACAATAGTGATACACAAAATACTATTGTTTTCTTTGTGAATGGAACAGAAGAACAAGATCTTCACATATATTGTCAACTGCTGGCCACTCACAAAGCAATATATATCAAGGAAAAAACTAGTTTATTATGCATTAGTCCAATCCAATAAAATTTTACTTTAGCTGTTGCATTTTAAATTGAGCTTAAAGAAAAATTTTGTAAAATCAATAAATAAAGAGGGTTTGGGCTTTTTGTATTTAAAAAAGTATCACTATCTAAGCAACACTGAAATTAAAAAAAGAGTTTTCATGGGCCACAAATTAATCTGTTAATGAAAGATGAAGAATTTGAATGTCCTTAAATGGCAGTTTAACTTGCAGCACAGAATAGTTTTGCACTAGCACAAAACTTTGTAGGAAATAGAAAATCAAAACTATGAAGAACTTGTAAATGATCATCTTAAATTATACACTTCCTTCATTCTCACCTAAGCTTCTTTCTGTCAGATATTGGCAACATCAGTAAAAAACATGGGGAAATCTTCCACCAAGATATATTGTCTATCAAAAAACATTATCAAGGTAAGTGAAAATGTTGATCTGAGATCCACTACTTCATAAACCAAAGAACCAGCAATAGAATAGAACTACTCACTTTGCAGAGCAAATGTTTTCTTTTGTTTTTAAACATGACATCCTCAAGCTACTGTTCTAAAATTCAAATTACATGCATTTGGAACAGATTATAAACTTTACTTAGTCATTCATGATTAGAAGATAGCAGTTGATACACTGATTGGTGGAATGTTTGTACATAGCAATCTACTTGGAATGTGTTTCTGCTGAACTTATATATATATTTTTACGGGTTCGGGATTGCACTATCCTCTTTATAGTTGATGGCTTTTGACTTTTGAGCCGTCCTGTAGATCTCCATTTACTCCAGATATCTGATATGTGATCTATCTGCTGTTCTATGTATGGTTTTGGCCCAGTCAAAATGGACCTTCACATCTGGGTCCCCAGCATAAGTTGATAGTGCAATGGTTAATAGGCCTTTTGATATGTCAGTTCGATGTTCCTTTAGATGAGTGGTAATGGTGCTGGCATGGGGCTCCATTATATTCTAAATCTTTATTGAATCTTTTGTCCATAAGAGGGATGGAATATACTCTGGTGAATATTGCCAAGTTGATGGATTTTTGGCATTTCTACTTAGATTAAATATGGATGGGTTCTTTTGAGGCCATATTGGTTGGAAGTGTTTTTATCATTACAATGACTGCCCTAGTGGATTATATTGTATCATCAGATACAGGAAAGTTACCACTTTCTGTGAGTACAATTATTTTTAAAATGGGAGGATTTTAACATGTGTTATTGTCCTTCATACTTTTTGACTTTGTCAGCCTATTTTTGTTACATAATCTGTCGCTTTTGTCGACAGTTATACATCATTTGTGTGGACCTTATAACGCCCTGTAAATCTTGTGTTTGAATGCCCATTATTAATTATGATATTGCGATACATATTTTCTTGCCAAACAAAATGTATTGTTCCTCACCTCATGGTAGGATTAGCCAATCAGCGAATGGCTCTCTGAGGCTCTACTGTTTGTATTTTTAATATCTTTAACTCTGTATACAAGTTGGCAAGTAGGCCATTCTATTCATAGGGACCCTGATGTGAAGATCCATTTCAACTGGGTCAAAATCATACATAGAACAGCAGATAGATCACATATCAGATATTTGGAGTAAATGGAGATCTACAGGGTGGCCCAAAAGTCAAATGTTATCAACTATAAATAGGATAGTGCAATCCCAAACCCGTAAAAATATATATATATATAAGTTCAGCAGAAACACATTCCATGTAGGTTGCTATGTACAAACATTCTAACAATTAGTGTATCAACTGTTGTCTTCAGTGTTGCTAGCTAAAACACGTAAAAATGATATTAAAGTAGCCAAGACATAGCCAAATATTATAGTGCCACGTCACTAGTGGACATTTGAATTTGCCGACTAAAACGTGGTCGGTTAACTGATATGACGGTTGATCGGAGGTCAGATAATCGATGCTCTACTGTATATGTTACTCGCCAAACCTGATTTCAGGCCAAACTAGTTTATCCTATGTGTGTCAGGATATACTAGTTTAGCCTAGGACAATCTATTGTAGTTTGGCCTAAATACTTTAGGCTTAACTAGTTTGTCCTAAGCCGAACTGATTTAGAATTATTATTTAAGTCAGGCCTGGCCAACCCAAATTGTTTCGCAAGACACTTTGATCACATGTAACATTACAATGGGCCACAATTTAGGCAAACATACTTTTAAAAAAGTAAAACAAATACAAAATGAATAAGATTTCATTGTTATACCAAGAGTTCATACTCACACTTGTGCATTATAACAATGACACATGCAAATTTTCATTTATTTAATTGTTTTGGTATACACAAAATGGAAAACGAACGTTTTAATAGATATATAATGTCTCTTAGCGGGCCACACAATTTAATGTGACAGGCCGTGGGTTGGCCAGGCCTGATTTAAGTATATTAATGGTTAAAATAAAATTAAAAGGCAATCAATTAGATGAACAATATTTACTCAAACATACTCTACTTAATTATAAAAAAATGGTATTGATTAGAAAGAAGAAAACTTGTAGAAAACTATAAAATAAAAATAAGCTAATCAGTACTTATCAGTTTGTATTTTTTTTTATTAAGCCATGCACTTTCAAAGGTAATTAACTTTTGAAAATATTTTCAAAAATTCAAATGAAATNGTAGTAATGTAGTGATACAGGCAATCACTAAGCTTCTGTTTAGATAATTAAGTATTAACATTTTTTTTTATATATATGAAAAGAAATACATTTATATTAATAAATACATTAAATAAATAGCCTTAGCAACAAATTAAATTATTTAATTTTACAGTACACTACCATGAATCTATGATCCCAATGATCAGGTGTTGAAGAAGGTTGAAATGCTGGTTGCAAAGATGTTAGAGTAGGACCTGATGGAGGCTGAGATGGTGGAACTATTAGTGCTGACATTTTAGTTTCATCATCATTCACTTGTAAACCAAAAATTTTTGGCTCCAGACTAGCTTTGATGGCACCAATATCAATGTCTAGATAAAATCATAATCAAAATATATTGTTAATATTTCATAATCATAATATTTTAAAATATAAAATTTATTTATATGTATGCTTGCATATATTTAAAAATTTTCTGTAATTCTTGTTTAGCAAAAAAATAGTTTTTAATAAAACATTTTCTTCTTTGCAGATTAGTGTAATAAAATATATAAGCTGACAATCAAATAAATAGAGTTTCTTTCAAGAGTAATTGGCATTTTCATTTGTTTGTGTTGCTGCTATTAACTGTAATCTAAAAATAAAATGATATGTTCATTTATAGATTTTCTATTGCAATTAGTATGCAGTAAAAATTCCTTAACAGATATTTTTAATGAATATTTGTGTGAATATTTAATGAATATTAATCATGTCATCAGTAGCATATTTCCATAACTTACTTTGTAGATTTACAGATTTAATAGATCTCAATAACAAAGACAATAAACTGTTTTGTAAAGCAATTAAAAAAAAAAAAATAAATAAAATAGTCATCAAACACAATAAGTTAAAAGTCTTTTGTTTATTCAAAAAAACAAACAGATGCATATGGGAAACTAGATATCATAAACAATTCCCTGTAATAATACTTAAAAATTAATATAAAAACAGCTGTGTAGACTTGTGAGAAAGGAGTTGCTCAAGACATAAACAGCATCTCTCTTTTCCATATAACTGACAACAATTGACTACCTGATGCACACTCAAGAAATTCTTTCCAGTGACAAACAGTCACTTGCTTGGCCCACAAATAAGCAGTTGATTGGAGAATTGGACTGGCTGTCTGGTTGATTGGACAGTACACAAAGAAAATGGTATCATTAGAAAATAAATCCAGCAATGAGTTGCTTAACTCTCTTGGCAACATTTAAAACTGTGTGTGGTGCCATCTGTTATAATATTTTATTAAAAACTTTTTGTGTGTAAAATCATTTTAATCTGTACTGGTTGATTTTCTCACAGCAACTCCAGTTAAATGACTCAAGACTTTATTGTAGCATATTTTTACACAGATTATACGTCATATGCATTTCAGGCTGTTGCGACTTTACAGCCCCCCTTCAGTGTTATTGAAAGACAATGGTATGATTAGACCTGACATTGTTGTAATTATCAATAAAGATTTTTACAATATTGTTTGTATATTTATTTACATGTCTTAGAGAGAGACAAAAATTATTTAAAACTATTACACATTCAATATTTTCCATAAAACTTTTTATACAGTCGACCTCCCTATAACACTGTTGATAATTCTGTTTTATATGAATTCCATGTTGTACGAGTCACTTAGATTTTACAAATACGTGTGCCAGGCTGTGAACAGCTCACGTATTTGTAAAATCTAAGTGACTCGTACAACATAGAATTCATATAAAACGGAATAATCAACAGGGTTATAGGGGGGTCAACTGTATTTTAATTATTATAAAATGACAAAAAGCTTAAATTTGAGGGTAGGGATGGATTTTATAAAAAATTGTAAATTCTAATAACAAGTAAAATTATCATTAAGTCCAACCCTACTCGAGATATGGCATAGCCCCCTTTATCTCCTCACCCCATTAATCTTTAACCACCAAAATTTAATAGTATCAATCACAAATCACTCTAGTATACAAACTTCCTGTAAAATTTCATAATTTTTTGACAAAAAACACAAGAGTTATTAAGCTTCAAAGAGGACGAACAAAACTGTGTTCCCTCCCACACACACTATATTCCACACATATAGAAAAAAAACCTCAAATTTTTTTCATTTCTAAAGTCCTGAGTCCAAAAATGTAAAAATCATGGAGTGTCATTTTTTGACCAATTACCATGCTTTCCCTCTATTATACAGTGTGTATTTTTTATCTTGAGACAATGAAATATCTTAATTGGATCTCATTATTTTAAAAAAGTTATAGACAAAAGTTGTAGGGTGTTGAGGGGGCAATCAATTGATGACCTCATGACCTTAACCTTCAAGGTCATTTGGAGGTCAAGTCTGTTTTTTCAATGGGAACACATATTTTTGACATTGGAAATGGAAAGAGCAAAAAATTTTACATTCAGATATACCCTTAATCTTAAGGTCTAGGTCACCCCTTTTGTTATATATAACAAAAGCAGGAAAGTGAAAATAGAGTTTAGGTCATTTTTCATGTGTTAGACAAAGTTTGGTACATTCTCAGGGATGTGTTAAAATGGAATTCAGGTAAGCTTTGAAAAATGTGTCTGTGTTAGAAGAGAAGTTTGGGAGAGACTTGCTGTATACAGTCGACCCCCCTATAACACGGTAGATACGTTCCGTTCTTTATGAATCCATTTTGTACAAGTCCTTGCCAATCACAGCCCGACACGTGTGAAGTTTATGGACTACAGCTGTTTGAAAGGTTTTCTTCCATAAAATTAATCGATTCCTAGACTAATTCGACTCAACATTTCCAAAATACATATATTTTTTTGGGAATAATCCGTATAAACTATGCTATAAACAAAAAATTGTAGGATTACTTACCGAGTGTGCACTGTTTGACGTCGCCATTGCTTAAGCTTGTTTTCATCGCGGACCAGCGCACCAAACGGCAGCTGCAATTTCTGATAAGTTATTTTTCTGCGCAAACTTCATTGAACTTTGGAGACATCATTAATATAAATAATTTTTATGGCCGTTGAATAAGAAGTGTTTCTTTCACAAGAAATGTATAAAATTAGTGCTGTATTAGACTTACGGTACCTAATTTACATACTGTACAGATGATAATAAACTGAACTTACTAGCCTAAAATCTCCGTAGCGTGTTGCCAGGCGGCAGAAAGCATATATATAATTATAATAAAGTTACAATAAATTAAGTTAATATATAATTATATATACAGTACCTAATTTATATATAATTAATATATAATTATATGTACAGTACCTAATTTATATATAATACTGTACAGACGATAGTGTGAGGTTTGCCGATTGGGGAGAAAGTGTTGCGACAGTCGAGCGGTCAGCACTGTCGTGTGGGAGTGAAAAAACTTACTGAGACAGGTCCTCCATTGCAAACTATTTATTAAATGTAAAAATTTCACTTACAACTACTGTTTTACTTCGGCGTAAGGCCTATCTGCAGAGTGAATCAGTTCGTAAATAAAGTTCAATCTTTTCTATGATCTTCTCTCCTTTTGGCAAAGATGATGAGAAAAATGTAGGCTCCAGGGCGCACAGCACAAATTGAAGGAGTGATTCTCGTAGCAGATTACCCTTGGTGAAACTTGCTGGGACGGGATGGCGAAAACTTCTTTCGGAACGACGACCAAGTTCCCATTGTTGAACCGCAGGAAAAATCCAGAAGCAGAGCACACTGAACTTAGAACCAAGGTCACATCCTATTTTTGCGTGGTTTTTATAAGTTTTTTCTGGGTCCCAGATTGAACATTCCGATAGGTCGATGTCGACTTCCCCCGTTCTCCAATTGGTCCCCCTCCTCGTTACGAATTGTAACAGGATCAGAGCCCAGATCACAGGGTGAGTCAACTCCGATTGACAATTTGATTCCTATCAAAGACGTTCGATCTAAGTACTCAAATTCATCCATTGTTTTAACCTGAGTAGTTCGACTTTCTTAGAAGTTTTTACAGATATGTCCTTATATGGACATAAAATATTCATTTTGTGTTTGATGGTTTCTTTTTACAATAAGATTAATAATTATAAAAATTTTTTTCATATGAAATTAAAATATTTTCCGTGCACGAATTTCAACCCACTTCCGGAGCCTCACAACAGTAAATTCAATTTACCCGCCTAAACTCTCTGTAGCATGGCGCTGGACAGCGGAAAGTAGTTTGGCTGCCCGATGACGTTTTAACAAATTATAGGAGTTTTTTTTACCATGTTTGTACGGATACCATCGCAATTTTTTTGCCGTCATATAGGAATCCGAACTATAGGAACCCGTGTTATAGGGGGGTCGACTGTATTCAACAATGAACTTATCTTCTCAATGGATGAAAGTTTGTGTCAGTTATAACTTCTACAATTGCTACAATGAGAAAATCCTACTCATTGCTAACAATGAGAAAACATGCCCATTCCTGAAAGCACTACTACAGGAAACAAAATGAAATTGTAAGAATATTTTCTTTGTAACTCTCTCTTTCAATGTGAGCATAGTTGAGTGTCTGAACAAATATAGGTTATGGTTCAAGTTAGTTCCTTGATGCAGTCAACTTTTGTCAACAGTTTCGAGTCAGAAAACAGAAAGTAGTTTTACTTGGTTTTAATTTAGAAATTATTTTATTAATTTTTAGAATTTACAACAAAAATTTTTTATAAATTTTTTACCGATCCCATTGTTTTAAATTTTATGAATATATTTTGTTTTTATGTTATTTGTTGTTATGAATTTAACTGAAGGATTAATTAAACTTTCTTAGTTTTTTAACAAACTATTTGGTGGTGAATGACTTCCATCCCAGACCCATGTTTAGTGAGACACTTTCTATAAAAGATGTGCCAATCTATTGATCAGGTCAACTGATCTGTCATGAGCATTGTAACCAATGTAATCAGGCAGAATCTAACATAGCTTATTGGTTAGAAATCTTAAAAATTAAAAGTTGTAAAAATATTTATTATCAATAAAAATTTTCAAGGCTTCTTCAGCTTATGTCAGACCATTCAAAAAACATTTATCCAGTCAAACAAAACTTTCCTAAAATCTTTATGAGGATCTTGAATAATCTGATACTGAGACTAAAGAAGCCTGGTAAGCATTTATTTTAAGGTTGGTGGATATCAAGAAGCAAGTGGATGGCAGGGGGAGGTGCTGGAGGCAGGATACTAACCAAATGGAGACAATAGGCAAGAATTAGGGTCAACAATAAACCTTTCCCATTCCTCTATTAAATGGTAAGAAGAAGCACTGCATTTAATGATTTCCAGATGTATAGAACAATGTATATTAAGGACACAAAGTGCAAGGTTCATAGAAAAGTTTTTCAAGAATATTTCCAAGATTTTCTCACACAATGGAAAATGAGTTAGGAGGTGTTTGCATACGTTTATGGAACCAAGGGGCAGTGGCTCAAAAAAGTTTGGAAATTACTGGTATATTGGATAGTCCAACATGATCATCCAATATACAATTGAAGAACTCACAGGTGCCTGCTCCCTGTAGAACCTCCTGGATCCACAACTGTGACTGCATATATGGCATGATATGAATATATTCACAGTCTTTAAATTTATTTTTTATTAATGTAATATTTGAGATCTACAAAATATTAAAGTATTTGTGGATAGTTCAAGGATTTACCCATCCCTAATTTATTCCTATTGTTTAAGTTAACTTCCTAACCAGTAAGATATTTCTGTTTTGATTTTCAGTGGATGCATAGCAACCTTTATAATGAATTTCAGTTAAGGAATTGACTGTTTTTATTCTGTTTATGTGCATAAAGATTTGTTTACTTGTGAAATTTAAATCAGAAATGAAGTCACAGATATTAAAATATATAAATTATTTTTGAAAACTTTACATATATTCAAAGACATATCATAAAAATTATAATCACAACAAATTCAGTGTGGATGGTGCCCCAAGTCAGATAAAATTTATGGATTACAAATCAGATGATCAGTGTAAAATCATAATGCACATGAACAATAAATGATTACTCTATTCAAATTTTGTCAAAATTAATCCTAAAAGTATTATATTTTAGAGTAAATTTGACAAAATTCAAATAGATCAATCACAGAAAAATAAATCTATTTACTGTATTAAGAGATAACAGTAAAGAAATTTATTTTTCTACAACATATATATATATAAACGTCCTTTTATTACTCCAGTCCTGGAATTAAATTGTCACATCTTGTGTATATACATACATACAAGGTGTGACAACTCCAGGACTGGGGTAATAAAAAAACACAAAGAACATATAATGAAAAACCCTTTTAATATCCCTGTAAGTAATCTCCCTGGAGGGCAATGCACTTCTCGCAATGCTTGTACAAGTTTTTGAAACACTTGGCAAAGTCACTTCCGTTGACAGCTCTCAATTTCTTGGTCATTGTGCTGTATGTCCTCCAGGTCACTGAATCTTCATCCCTTCAATGTGATTTTGATTTTCAGAAACAAAAAATAGTTGCAAGGCGACAAATCTGGTGAGTATGGAGGGTGGTTCAACTCCACAATGACAACAGTCAATTGCATTTGTCAGGCCAAAAATTCCATGACAACAGTCGCAGTGGGCAGGAATTGTCGTGCAGCAGTACTGAGCTTCCTCTTGCAGCAAACTGAGGCCTAACCTGATGAGTTGTCTCCAGATTGATACCAGTTGTCTCCGCTATCATCTGAATAGACATTCTACTGTCATATCGCAGCAAGTCTGATTTTTTCGATGTTTTCTGGAGTTCAAACTGATTGAGGTCGTCCAGAGCGAGCATCATCCTCAAGGTCTTTCCGATCATCCCTGAAACGTGCAAACTACACAAAAACGTGACAGTAGGATAGGGCATCATTCTCATAAACTTGCTTGATGAGAGCATATGTCTCTGTTGCACTTTTACCTAACTTGTAACAAAACTTAATGTTCACTTTTTGTTCCATGACAAAAACATGATAGCACTTTCTCACAGCAATATGTGAATGGAGTACAAAAAAAAGAATGAGTTACGAGACACGAACAATCTTTGCAGACAAGTAGCCAGATGGTTGAACTATTATGACAAGCTTAGACAAGTTTCTGCATGCTGATACTGCAGTGCTACACAACTAGTCCTTGAATTAAATTGTCACACCTTGTATATAGATATTTTATACAGGAAAATAATTAGACAAATATTGTGCTTTATTATTTAAATAAGTATGGAAGTTAAACCTTGAGCAGAATGATCTCTAAGATAGTTTTTATATAAAATTGATTAAAATTATCAAAAAAGTATTTCATTATCTATAACTCCCTAAATTATTTCATATCATATTGAATTCATTTATTTCAAATGTTAAATTCTTTATTAACAGCAAAAAATTAAAAAATAAAACTTCTAAATGTATTAGTTCTCTTATAAACATTACCATAATTGTTATCATCGTCATCATCATTGTCATCATCTGGGATCTTTGAATTTGATACAGAATCATTGTCAGATAATGTTTTATCATCATTATGTTGAAAAGATTCTTTTATTAAACTTTGTTTTGAAGCATCCTATAAAAAAATAGTAACTTAATATCAATAGTTATTAGAAAAAATTATAATAAACTTTAACAATATATTTTGAATTAATGTTAGCTTCTTCCAACATTATATAGTATATATAGGTTAATGAAACAGAAAACTGACCAACAGAAAAAATATTCAGTACCATGTGAGTCTGGTTTTACTGTTTTACACATGTTTTACTGTACCACATTTCCCTGATTAAGATGCAGCATGAATTTGAAATCAAATTTTAAGGGTTTTTTATGAAGGAAAATTTTAAATAATCAACATGGCCACATAATTCATAAAAAGGAAACTTATAAAAACATAGCACAATTTCTTGAAAAGTCTCAATATAAAAGTACAGTTGGAATATCAGTGATGATTTCAAAGTTATAGATGCTCTACTTGGCTTACAATAGTGATACACAAAATACTATTGTTTTCTTTGTGAATGGAACAGAAGAACAAGATCTTCACATATATTGTCAACTGCTGGCCACTCACAAAGCAATATATATCAAGGAAAAAACTAGTTTATTATGCATTAGTCCAATCCAATAAAATTTTACTTTAGCTGTTGCATTTTAAATTGAGCTTAAAGAAAAATTTTGTAAAATCAATAAATAAAGAGGGTTTGGGCTTTTTGTATTTAAAAAAGTATCACTATCTAAGCAACACTGAAATTAAAAAAAGAGTTTTCATGGGCCACAAATTAATCTGTTAATGAAAGATGAAGAATTTGAATGTCCTTAAATGGCAGTTTAACTTGCAGCACAGAATAGTTTTGCACTAGCACAAAACTTTGTAGGAAATAGAAAATCAAAACTATGAAGAACTTGTAAATGATCATCTTAAATTATACACTTCCTTCATTCTCACCTAAGCTTCTTTCTGTCAGATATTGGCAACATCAGTAAAAAACATGGGGAAATCTTCCACCAAGATATATTGTCTATCAAAAAACATTATCAAGGTAAGTGAAAATGTTGATCTGAGATCCACTACTTCATAAACCAAAGAACCAGCAATAGAATAGAACTACTCACTTTGCAGAGCAAATGTTTTCTTTTGTTTTTAAACATGACATCCTCAAGCTACTGTTCTAAAATTCAAATTACATGCATTTGGAACAGATTATAAACTTTACTTAGTCATTCATGATTAGAAGATAGCAGTTGATACACTGATTGGTGGAATGTTTGTACATAGCAATCTACTTGGAATGTGTTTCTGCTGAACTTATATATATATTTTTACGGGTTCGGGATTGCACTATCCTCTTTATAGTTGATGGCTTTTGACTTTTGAGCCGTCCTGTAGATCTCCATTTACTCCAGATATCTGATATGTGATCTATCTGCTGTTCTATGTATGGTTTTGGCCCAGTCAAAATGGACCTTCACATCTGGGTCCCCAGCATAAGTTGATAGTGCAATGGTTAATAGGCCTTTTGATATGTCAGTTCGATGTTCCTTTAGATGAGTGGTAATGGTGCTGGCATGGGGCTCCATTATATTCTAAATCTTTATTGAATCTTTTGTCCATAAGAGGGATGGAATATACTCTGGTGAATATTGCCAAGTTGATGGATTTTTGGCATTTCTACTTAGATTAAATATGGATGGGTTCTTTTGAGGCCATATTGGTTGGAAGTGTTTTTATCATTACAATGACTGCCCTAGTGGATTATATTGTATCATCAGATACAGGAAAGTTACCACTTTCTGTGAGTACAATTATTTTTAAAATGGGAGGATTTTAACATGTGTTATTGTCCTTCATACTTTTTGACTTTGTCAGCCTATTTTTGTTACATAATCTGTCGCTTTTGTCGACAGTTATACATCATTTGTGTGGACCTTATAACGCCCTGTAAATCTTGTGTTTGAATGCCCATTATTAATTATGATATTGCGATACATATTTTCTTGCCAAACAAAATGTATTGTTCCTCACCTCATGGTAGGATTAGCCAATCAGCGAATGGCTCTCTGAGGCTCTACTGTTTGTATTTTTAATATCTTTAACTCTGTATACAAGTTGGCAAGTAGGCCATTCTATTCATAGGGACCCTGATGTGAAGATCCATTTCAACTGGGTCAAAATCATACATAGAACAGCAGATAGATCACATATCAGATATTTGGAGTAAATGGAGATCTACAGGGTGGCCCAAAAGTCAAATGTTATCAACTATAAATAGGATAGTGCAATCCCAAACCCGTAAAAATATATATATATATAAGTTCAGCAGAAACACATTCCATGTAGGTTGCTATGTACAAACATTCTAACAATTAGTGTATCAACTGTTGTCTTCAGTGTTGCTAGCTAAAACACGTAAAAATGATATTAAAGTAGCCAAGACATAGCCAAATATTATAGTGCCACGTCACTAGTGGACATTTGAATTTGCCGACTAAAACGTGGTCGGTTAACTGATATGACGGTTGATCGGAGGTCAGATAATCGATGCTCTACTGTATATGTTACTCGCCAAACCTGATTTCAGGCCAAACTAGTTTATCCTATGTGTGTCAGGATATACTAGTTTAGCCTAGGACAATCTATTGTAGTTTGGCCTAAATACTTTAGGCTTAACTAGTTTGTCCTAAGCCGAACTGATTTAGAATTATTATTTAAGTCAGGCCTGGCCAACCCAAATTGTTTCGCAAGACACTTTGATCACATGTAACATTACAATGGGCCACAATTTAGGCAAACATACTTTTAAAAAAGTAAAACAAATACAAAATGAATAAGATTTCATTGTTATACCAAGAGTTCATACTCACACTTGTGCATTATAACAATGACACATGCAAATTTTCATTTATTTAATTGTTTTGGTATACACAAAATGGAAAACGAACGTTTTAATAGATATATAATGTCTCTTAGCGGGCCACACAATTTAATGTGACAGGCCGTGGGTTGGCCAGGCCTGATTTAAGTATATTAATGGTTAAAATAAAATTAAAAGGCAATCAATTAGATGAACAATATTTACTCAAACATACTCTACTTAATTATAAAAAAATGGTATTGATTAGAAAGAAGAAAACTTGTAGAAAACTATAAAATAAAAATAAGCTAATCAGTACTTATCAGTTTGTATTTTTTTTTTATTAAGCCATGCACTTTCAAAGGTAATTAACTTTTGAAAATATTTTCAAAAATTCAAATGAAATGATAAAAATAATTTTTAAAGTCTAACTAAAATTAAAAATGAACTTGTTTGTGTTTCTTAGTGTAACATATAAAATATTTAATCTTTTATTTATTTTTACAGGGTGAGTTAAAGTGTACCTAGGTAACCCCAATGGCGGCACTTCGGACTGTTCGTGCTCCCGGCGGACTCCTCCCGGAGGGGAGCCACCAGCAGGCCGTCCATTGTTTAATGTCACTAGTTATTGATTCACGGTAATTCTTAAACAAAAGAAAAAAAAAGGAAACGTCTACTAAAAATGTAGTTAACCTAACCAAACCAACCTAACCGAAACACCGCCACTAGGGTTACCTAAATACACTTTAATCACAGGGTGTACTGTGATGGCATTTCGAATTACACAAAATCATTTTTTTTACACTGGTGCCTATTTGTAGTACATAAATCAGTTTGGCCTAGGCCAAACTAGATTATCCTAGGCTAAACTTGTATATCCTGACATGCATAGGACAAACTAGTTTGGCCTGAAATTGGGTTTGGCCAGTAACATATATATAATTTTTATTAACAATAAATTAATAATAAACAAATTAGCTTTTATTTTCTTACATTGATATGATAGAAATATTTTATTAATTTAATCATGAGAAATAACAGATAAAACAAAATTATACATGAAAGATCAAGAAAAATTATGAAAATTAAAATTTGCTATCCAGTGTAATTTCCCAAACAAGGATTTCAAACTGATTGTTGTTTTTTGAAATGCAGATAGTATCATAAGATCAAGAAAATTAATTATGACTTTCTCAAATTTTATCATCTCAATATTTTAATTTTACTCAATATTAAGATTAATGAAAAAGTCACAATAAGAAAGCAGAAATAAATCTTAAAAGTAAATTATTTAGTGAATCTTAAAAAGCATCTGACAATAACTGGCACATATAAAATGTTTGTTAATGCACGTATTATTTGGTCAATATCTCTGTAATGTATTTAAAATTTCGTTAACTTATAAATATCATTTTTTCCACCTTAAAATATAATACAGAGTGATCATAAGTAAAGAGTAAGTGTTCATAGTCCTCTGTAGAAATATTGAGCAAATCTCAAGCAAATTTGATATATGGAGGTGTTCCATTTTAGTCATTCAATATATCTTAAAAAATATGTATCATACAAAAAAAAAAAAAAAAAATGTTCTAGATTGAAAACATTCTGCATCAAGAGGAATACAAAATGGCACTACAATTGGTGAAAATGGTGTTAACTTCATTTTCTTAAATGGGAACCCCTATTTTTTTTTTTATTGCATATGATTTTGCATCAAAAACAAAAATTTTTATCTAAAACATTTTTTTGAAAGATGCAGTTATTCAAGTTATGAACATTTGAAGTTTTACACTGATGCCACATGGCTGTAAGTGATGCTGTGAAGTTCAATGAAAAATCATTAGGAAACAATTATTTCATGGAATAAAGATCAACATCTTGTCTTTACCACAAGCTTGATGGCTTTAACAATGTGGCAGCACTAGTTTTTGTATCAATACATTATTTAAAGAATGATTCCACTTAATAATAACTTTCCTAATGTGTTTTTGTAATGTTTTTCTAGATAAAAATTTGTTATTTTTGATGCAGAATTATAATATGCAATGAAAAGGAAGATTCTCATTTAAGAAAATAAAACTGACCCTGTTTCCACTGATTTTAGCACCAGCTATGATGAACCTGATAGTGCCATCTTGTATCTCCCTTGATGCAGAACATTTTCAGTCTAAAATATTTTTTGTAGAATGCACATTTTTCACAATATTTTGGGTAACTAATTAAAATGGGGCATTCCTATATAATGTCCTGAGCATTATGATTTCAATTTTTGGGAAAAATTTTTACCTCAAAATTCAGCCACCGAGACAAAATTTGGCTCTGCTGTTCCCTAATAATGTGCAGATTAAATATATTTTATAATGAATTTCAGATGTAAAAGGAGTTGCAAAAAGTTCTTTACAATTCTTTGACAAGTAATGACAGGTTGTAACTCATGATAATCACTTTGTCTGATTGTTCATTACTTTCTAAACTCTTCTATCAACAAACTAGCAATGCCAACTTAGCTCTTAAGAAATTTTGATGCTTAAAAGATTTATGAAGAGGTACTCTGCCTAGTGGAAATCTTAGGATGGGAATAGCAGTGCTAAATTTTAAAGTAAAAGGTTTTCCTCATAATTGAAACCTCAAATTTTCTCAGTATATACCAAATTTGTTCTCTGTACAACAGTTATCCAACAGTTCTACATAGAACTTTAAACACACTTTAATTATGATCATTTTGTAAATTAAAATATATTCTGTTAGGTTGGCCTAGATTTTTCATACATTCAAGGAAAAATACTTTCCTTTCTTGGATAAAAAAATAAAAAACATTTAGTACTCCAACAAACATTTAACTAAAATAAATGTATTCAGCTATATAAACTATCTTCAGATTATAAAAATACAAAATACATCAAGCAAACAAATATATTACTTCATTTATCTGAAAAATTGTTTTAATTGAACATTTTCCAGAGAACTAAAGGATTTTTTTGTTTACTTTTCACAGAATTTAACCTTTTCAGATGCATTTTGTTATATTTCCTTGAAAAAAGAAAATTTGTTTTTATCTCAACGATTTATTAAGAACGAATTTTAAAAATTCTTTTAAAAATTACTTTTGGTAAATTATTCTTTTTTAACTTTATTATACATATCTTCTTTTGATAATCATTTCTTGATTAACATAATAATCAAAATTTTTAAAAATTTCTTTTGTTTCTTTCTATACATTGTTACATATGAACAGATTAATAACAACATAATTATAATTTATTATTATTACTGCACATTTTAAATTATTTACTATAATATAATTATTATTATTAAAATCTTATTTACCATTTTTTCACAATCAACTGAAACTACATTTTCTATCAGTCCTAGCTGACCCTAAATTAAAATAAAGCAAATATTATATAAATATTTTAAATTTATTGAGAGAACAGCAAGCAATTGAGTATTTTAAATTTATTTTTTTAATATGAGCCATCAATAGTTCCTTCTTAAGTTTCAATATTAGAAGTAATTCAACTCCTAAATACAGTGGTTATCGATTAACGAACATGATCCGTTCCAAGACTGTGTTTGCTATTCAAATTGTTCATTAATCGTTTATCGATTCATCATATATTTTTATGGGAATTTGAATAATTCATTCTGGAGACCCCAAAAAAATATATATAAAAAAAATTATATACTTTTTTATTTATATGTAATAATAAAAATACATATATACACAGTCTTGCATTTTTATCAGTCATATTGTTTTTCCATTTGTGGGACATTAAAGAATCTGTCCAATGTTGATTGCTTTTCTCTCTTCTTCAGGATTTTTTAAAAATAATTACTAACATTGTCGTTGTAGAGATCCCCATGCCTATTAACCTCAACCTGATTCAGATGCCATTCTAAGACTGTTGTTCTGACATCCTCCTACTTCTTCAAAGATCTTTAATAACAGATGTCAGCGTTGATCCTCTTTTGTCTTCCTCTTTTTCAGAAGAAAACACATCTCGTTGAATTTCTTGGTGTTCTTCATTCAAGAGTTCTTGAAGTTCTTCTGTCATCAGATCAATTTCAGATTCCATTATGAGCTCTTCAATGTCATCTTTATTCACTTCCAATTCCAGATCTCTAGCAGTTATCACAATTTCATTTATAATTTCAGGGACATCATCTTTCTCTCCTTGAATGCAGGAGGGATACAGCTTTTGCTAAGCAGAATTCAACTGTCATTGAGTGATTTCTGACCATGCCTTTTGAATGAGTCATATAGCTTCAAGAATATCAAATTTTTCTTTCCAAAGTGTTTTTAATGTCATCGTTGAGGAGAAATGGCATGCTTCAAAACACTGATGAAACAGAGCTCAAATGTACAATTTCTTGAAACCTGCAATAACCTCTTGATCCATTGGTTGAATCAACAAAGTGGTATTTGGAGGCAGAAACTGAACTGTCAGCCAGGGAAAGTCTTCCAGCAAATTATCTTCAAAATCTTTTGGGTGTCCTGGTGCATTGTCCAATAGCAACAGTGCTTTTAATGGCAATTCATTGCTCTGAAGAAACAAACTCCACATTCGTCACATGAAGAGATAGAATTCAAGGCTACCACTGGATGGTTTGCAAAGTTAGAAGGAGATCGGGCATTAAACATGTGGTAATTTACAGTGAGTCTGCTAGTGCAGATAAAGAAGAAGCTGAGAAGTTCTATCTCAAATTTTACATGTGAATTTTTTCGTAAGTGTATTTTTTTCGTAAGCTGATTTTTTGCAAATTTTTAAATAATATAAGTGGAATCATCTTGAGTGAGTAAAGTTTGCAGTGACTGTTTTCAAACAATAAACACAAGGATGATTGGAGCACAAACTTCAAACAGCCATTCTTTGAAAAGAGCCTGCGTGACCCATGCCGTTTTATTTGCTCTCCACATCACTGGCAGTCTTTCTTTAATTATGGAATTTTTTTGAATGCTCTAGGGTTCTCAAAATGATAGACAAGAAGCGAAATAAGCTTCATATCATTGCTAGCATTAGCTCCCAAAAGTAACATCAATCAGTCTTTCAAGGGTTTATGCCCAGAAATATTTTTCTCGTCTTTCATGATGTAGGTATGGTTTGGCATGTGCTTCCAAAATAAACCAGTTTCATCACAATTGAAAATTTGTTGTGGACAATATCCTTCTTTTTAATGAATTCTTCAAATTTGAGATAGAACTTCTCAGCTTCTTTATCTGCACTAGCAGACTCACTGTAAATTACCACATGTTTAATGCCAGATCTTCTAACTTTGCAAACCACCCAGTGGTAGCCTTGAATTCTATCTCTTCATGTGACAAATGTGGAGTTTGTTTCTTCAGTTCTTCAACTAGCTTTCTTTTGAATGATTGTCATACTAGTTACATCTCTTTTCATTTCCCTTTCTTTTATCCAAATTAAAAGCAATCTCTCCATTTTTTCATGGATGGCACATCTTTGTTTCTCAGATGTACTCCTTTAGTTTCTTGAGTCTTCTTGATTATATCTTTCTTAGCTAAGACTGTGCCTACTGTAGACCTGTTCAATCCATACTGCCTAACAACATCAGACATCATCTGCCCACTCTCTCTACCTTGGCTATTATCTCTTGCTTGGTTTCTATGGTGAACATGGTTCTTGACACTCCACTCTTTTTATGCTCCATAATATTATCAATTTCTTTTTGAAATAATAAGTTCAGAAAAGCATTTACAAAAGTTCAGAGAACAGAAATCAACTAGTGCACAAAAGAATTATGTAAATGTGAGGCCCAAATGAAATTCGAAATTTTGGTGTTAAAACATCAACAAATATCTGATAAGACAGTAAAACTCTCACTTTTAAAAAATAAAACCTACGCAAAACTTAAAGAGTGCCCAACAGTCTTGCGAAGACTATAAAAAAATTATTTGTCAGAGAAGTAAACAAAACACTGGAATTAAAATGGAGAGTTTCAAAGTTCGGGAAAATACTATTCGATCAGTATCAAGTTGAGTGTCAATGTTGATGTCTCCCGCACTCTGAAAGGTTTCGAATTGTTACCTGAAGACAAGGGAAAAACAATCAATATTCGTTACTTTCTGTCACTTCTTATTATGTTTGTTCTGTGAAGTGTTCATTGTCCAAACATAAAAATCTTTCATGAAATGTTCATTAACCAATCACCCACTGTATAATCATTTATAAGTTTCGAAACACCTTTCTCTCTTTTTTCTAGCAAATTCTTTAATTAAATTAAATAAACTAACATTTTCAGCTATTTTAAATGGCATTCTTCAGGTTAAGAATAATTGGAATGCATAATCATTTAATTAATATTAATTCATAAAATTATAATACAGTAGAGCATCGTTTATCCAAATCAACTGGGGACTGGGGTGGTTTGGATAACTTATTTTTCGGATAACGAATCATGTACAAAAAAATATATTAATTTATCCCATCTTGACATTTCTCTCCGTTGCGTGTCGCTTCACGTTGAATTTTCGTCGATGTTAAGCCTAACGAAGACTATTGTATCATTAAAAATTATTTTTTTATTTTGTACAAACAAAATAAATTTATTGAAAAATATAAAAACAATAAAAAATTATACTTCAGATGTTAATTTAGTAACAAAAACGTAAAATATTTGAGTAGCCCGAGAAATAGCCGAAGATTGCAGTGCCACAGCACTGGCGAAAATTTAAATTTGCCGACTGGAATTCTTTCGGATAACCAGCTTTTGGATAAACGATGCTCTACTGTATATTGTACATGTAATAAATATACACCTACAGTTACATAATTACATAGTCATTTCAATTAAAACACCACCAAAAGCTAGTAAATAATATAACTCACAGACACCTTCTGTACTTATTCCAGTAGGTACAGTACCTACTGTAATAAGAACAGAAAGTGTCTGCAAGTTTTTATAATCATATATAACTTATTGAATTTTGATAAAATACAATAAACCAACATAACTCTAGACCTGTAGGTGAGAAATCAAACTTTCACCTTAATGTTTTTTAAGAAAGTTCAAATTATATACAGTGATACCCCAAACTTATGCGTAGGTGGGATTGAGCGATAACCACGTAAGTCGAATTCGCGTAAGTCAGGGTATAATTTTGCAATTTGTGTAAAATCCAAGTCAAACGTATGTAAGCTAATAAATGTTCTCATTAATCTTATTTTGTCTTTTGATTCGTTCACGGTTACAAGAAATCACCACATAGAGTCTCTCAAGTCTCTGTAGATATAACAAACAGAAATAAATAACACAAAATAAATTGTAGTTATGTGACGATTCCACGTGACACGTCCGAACATGTAAGCTGAACAATAGTGTGAGAGAGTGAGTAATTAAGAGTTGCGTGGCGTTCAAACAAAAGACGAATTGACAAGATTTGAAAATCATGTAACTCCGAGTTCGCATAAGTCCGAGTTTGCGTAAGTCGAGGTATTACTGTATATAAAATATATTTATTTTCATATATAGCCCTTGTAAACTGATATATTTTAAGTAATTCACTTACTTGAATGTCACACAATGCCAATTGTTTTTTGTTTTTTGGATTCCATACTAAACCACATAAAGCCTCTGAATTTTCATGCTTATATCTGCAAAAAGTAAATTTAAAATAATTAAAAGTTACATTCAAATAATTATTAAATCAAATCCTCACTAAAGTTTTTGAATTGCTGTTTTTTCAAAACAAGTCATTATCAAAATAAAAGTAGTTTATATTATTAAAAAATATATATATATATATATATATGACTTTTTTTACTTGTTTTATTTATTAATTCTATAAAATAAGGATGTTAGGTTGTGGAAACATTTTAAAGCTGAAATTAATAAGTAAATAACTAAAACTAGTTTTCATAAAATAAAGTTCTAAAACATCGCATATCATCCTCTCCTACTTACAAAACATTGGATGTATACAAGTTACAGTTCAGCTTTAATCATTATATCTTTATAGTTCAGACATACATTAAAAATTCATCACTGTATAACAGCATACTAGACCAGGCATGGCCAACATATGGACCGCGGGCCAGATCCGGCCCATCTAATGAATTTATGTGGCCTGTGATCAATCTTTCAATTCAAGTCCGAATAGCTCGATGAAAAATTCTGACGCCTAAAAAAAAAAAAAAAAGGCCAACAAATCACTGTGCATTTAGAGTTAACCCTCCGTTACAAATCTCGTAAGTATAGCGTAGAATGTTGATAAAGCATGATAATGTGAAAAATGTATCTGTAATCTCTATCTACAATTCAGTCTCTAGGGGGTGACACCACAATGAGATCTCACACCACCGTAAAATCTTCCTAGGGCAGCCTCAGGTTTGGCCTGTGGAAAAAGTTTTCTTTTTAATTCGGCCTGGGGGCAAAAACTGTTGCCCACCCCTGTACTAGAAGCTAGGTTACTAAATAGCAAAATGATATTTCATAATTTTACAGTAAATAGTATTGTGACAATTGCTTGTATAATGATTGAATTTTTCTGTTTAGTTTTTAAGAAAATACATTCTTCAATTATTGTTAAGTACTGTTTACAGGCATAATATGTAAAAGAGTTTCCTATACAATGTTTATTATGTGATATCTTCAACTTACAAATTCTGCTGTTATTCACCATAAATCATAGTCAAATCTGGCATCACTGTATGCACTCTCCGATATGCAACCTAGTACGTGTTTTGCATTGGATTGAATCAATTTATAGAAGTGAGTGTCCTTGAATAACTCCTATTTTCTGAGTACAGTAGAACGGTCCTCTAAAACCAAATGTTTGAGTTGCTCTACAATGGAGGTCAAGCCCATCTTTGCTTACTAGAAGAAAATCTATTTTACTCAAAATGGAACATTTATTACATTAATACTTTTTATTGTTCATGTTGAAAAGTGTAAAAAGCAACAATTATTGGAAATAGAGTTATTTCTTGGTGGTTGTGAAAGTAATTTACAGTTCAGTTTAATGAATTCTGGTAACTTTTTGTTTGCTTTATCACGTGAAAATTAACATTTTGACAAAGGAATTTTGCCAGGACAATGGCAAAATTTGCTTTAATGCAAAAATTCACTTTATTGGTATTTGTTTTAAGGTGAGTTGACTGTATTTAATTTCTTTGAAATAAAATAAAAAATATTGAATAGATAATCAGCTTATATTTTGCATTATTTTTCCTTTTAAGAAATAACTAATAAAAACAAAACTAAAATCATACATAACTTTATTTTGATAGAACCAAGTTTGACAATTGGTTTCTGGTTCCAAAAATAATAATCAAAATTGGTTAAAAATAATCAATAATTAAACATGAATTATGAGAATTGGTTTTCAACCCTAGTAAGTACTCTAAAATGTACTTCAATTTATTTATAAATAGTATATAAGCTCTTCCAAAACTGAGTTCGTATTAACCTTAAAAATATAAACTTGTTTAACTAAATTTTTATTCAGTTGAATAAGAATAAGAATGAAAAAAGTGTCAGACAACAAAATAAGACATTACACTAAAAAATCAGGTGATGTGCATTCGAAAGAATACTTTCAAAACAATATTGAAATGTATTAAAAATCATCCACATTACCTACAAAAATTTTAAAGTGAATAATAATTCATATATAATTAATACTATGTTTATAATTAAATGCTTTAAAATTATCATTCTTATTAATCTGCTTGAAAAAAATATTTGAAATTTCATATATTATTCACTTACCTATCTAAGCAAGTAAATGAATTTAATTCCCAAATAAACACATATCCATCTGTAGAAGCACCAGCTATTAAATTACCACAAGGTGAAAAAACTACAATAGAGATGAACTATAAAATTAAAAAAAAAAAATATATATATATACAGTTTATAAGAAATTTCAATACCATAATTTAGAGTAAATACAAACACCTTTCTATCTAAATGATTATGTAACTCTAAACATCATTTACTTATTATGACATTTTCACAATGCTGGGCTAAATTTTTAATCATATTTATTGTGACTTTTATTGTAGAAAATGTAAATCATATACATATAAAGTACATTTAGAGGGTTGAGTGATATATTACTGATCTCAGTTTATCACATAAAACAATTCTATTTATAAATTAAATTGAAGACAAAGTCTGTTGAAAAAAGAATTACCATTTATTCACTTTCAATGTTCTGAAATACAAACTTTTGATGACCAATCTTTTATTGTAGGCTACTTGGCTGTCAAGGTTGTATTCTAAAACATTGAAAGTAAATATATGGTGATTCTTTCTTCAACAGACTGTCTTCAATTTAATTTTTAAGCTTTGCTTTTTAATTTAATTGCCATCTGACAAAATTCTACAAATTAACTGAAATGATTCTGCAAAGATTTGTCACCAGAGACAGATGAAAATTGAAATAAAATCTATATTTACCAGTGCTTGCTTCTACAACTCCTAGACAAAAAAAATTAACCAAATTATTAGAATATTAGAATATTAACCATACTGAAAGTTTAGTGTACATTTTCTCATGAACAACACAGAGTACAAAACTTTTTTGACACTACATAAACAATGTTTATGTATATTTATTATATCCATTAATCAGACAAATTAACTCAAACGTTTTTTTGTTACAAATGGAAAGGAAATGTGAAAAAAAAAAAAAATGGAACAACAGTTTGACCATGACAAAAAATTAGAATATTAGCTAAATGTGGGTTACATATAGAAAATACAACAAAATAAACTTAATATTGGGTTGTTCGGGAAGTTCGTAGCGATTTTTGATAGCCAACAGTTGAGACACTGATTGATGTAAAAATGATTAGAATTGTACAAACCAATGAATATTACGATAAATGACTTTGAGACACGTCCATTAAAAAAAAAAAAACTTTAAGATTATTCAAAATCGTTTAATTTGTCTCATTGCAAAAATGGATGCAAACAATGTGCATTATCGACATTTGTTTCTTTTTATCGTAAAGGAAAAAATGCTGTACAAACAGCAAAAAAAAAGATATGTGATATTTTTGGTGGGAGTCCTGTAGGAGAATCAACTGTTCGAAAGTGGTTTGCAAAATTTAAAGTGGGTAATTTCAGCCTTGAAAATGCTACTGCTCAGGAAGACCTCCCATTATTGAAGAGGACCAGATCAAAGCATTATTGGATGAAAACCCTCATTATACAACTCAGGAAACTTTCAAACAGTTGATTCTCCTACAGGACTCCCACCATAAACATCACATATCTTTTTTGCTGTTTGTACAGCGTTTTTTCCTTTACGATAAAAAAAAAAAAACAAGTGTCGATAATGCACATTGTTTGCATCCATTTTTGCAATGAGACAAATTAAACGATATTTGAATAATCTTAACGGTTTTTTTTGTAATGGACATGTCTTAAGGTCATTTATCGTAATATTCATTGGTTTGTACAATTCTAATCATTTTCACGTCAATCAGTGTCTCAACTGTTGGCTATCAAAAATCGCTACGAACTTTCCGAACAATCCAATATTTTGTGGCGTTGACATTTGCCATAATTACTGCTCACAATCTGTCCAGCATGGTTCAAAGTAATGCATCACATTTGTTTCTGGTGATGCAGTTCCAAATGTGTTGAATGCATGTCACTAGTTCCTCTTTAGAATTGGACACCTTTCATTAAGTCATCGTTTCTTGACTCCCCACAAATTTTCAATGGGCTTTAAGTCTGGGGAATTGCTTGGCCAAGGCAGGATTGCAATCTGTCGTTCTTATAACCAACATATTGTTGGCTTTGCGATATGAGAGGATGTCCCGTCTTGTTGAAATAGAAATGTTTCCTCAACTAAATCCTCTGCTGATGTTATCATAATTGTCTCTAGGATGTCTCGATATGTCTGTGCATTGACATGTTCCTGAAGAATGCACAGTTGTCCTAAGCTGTTAGCACTCGTTCATCTCCAGATTATGATGCACAATGCAAACTTCATGGATCTCTCAATACTGTTCTTTTCGAAGGCCTCTTTGGTTGTTCTCCGTACACGAGCCTTGGTCACCACAGGAGAGACAAAACAGGGATTCGTCACTGAAGAGAACATTATTCCAGTCTTCTTGTTCCCACATAAGCCTCTCTCTGCACCATCTGAGATGCATTTGTTGTTACTATATCGTTAGAGATAGCTTTGGCTTGGGAACACGGCAGTTGAAGCACAGGTCATGCAACCTTTGGCATGTGGTTTGGCTACTAACGTTCACTCCAGCTGCTCTCCACTGTGCATGCAAGTGTTTTAACGCTTTTAAAGCACTTTCGCACAACAATCCTTCTCAAGTTTTTCTCATCCCTTGCAGTAATTGCTCATTTACGTCCACATTTCTGGCATTTGTTAGTTAAAACTTGAACATGGTTTTGTTGTTTCATTACTCTAGAGACTGTTGGTTGCAAGCACTTTACATAATTTGCAATTTCTTTTTGTGTTCTTTGTGCAAGACTATGATAGTATCTTTAATTTTCTCACTAATGTTGCACATATGCTCTATGTTGTGCAGTATAACAGCCTAACAATACAGTGTCCATACTTTGAAGATAATGTCTAGAGATATAACTGAGAAATTTCTGATTTGTTGACTAGTTTATTTGTGAGAGACAAATAAAACTTTCTTGAAGTTTTGTTTCTATCTACCCAAACTATAGTATTTATTAAGTATCAAATTTAATTATAAACCCAACAGAAATGCAAATTTTAGTACAGTAGACCCCCCTATAATGCGAGTTCCTATAACATAGATTCCTATAACGCGGCGAAAAAATTGCAACAATATTCGTATAAAGACGCTAAAAGGGACGCGTAAAACGTCATCGCCAACTCGTCATTGCGGATGAGCAGCCGAACTACTTTCCGCCGTCCAGCGCCACGCTACGGAGAGTTTAGGCGGGTAAATTGAGTTTACTATCGTCTGTACAGTATTATATATAAATTAGATACTGTACATATAATTATATATTAATTATATATAAATTAGGTACTGTATATATAATTATATATTAACTTAATTTATAGTAACTTTATTATAATTATATGTATACTTTCCACCGTCTAGCGCCACGCTACGGAGATTTTAAGCTAGTAAGTTGAGTTTACTATCGTCTGTACAGTATGTAAATTAGGTACCGTAAGTCTAATACAGCACTGTAATTTTATACATTTCTTGTGAAAGAAACATTTCGTATTTAACGGCCATAAAAATTATTTATATTAATGATGTCTCCAAAGTTCAATGAAGTTTGCGCAGAAAAATAACTTATCAGAAATTGCAGCTGCCGTTTGGTGCGCTGGTCCGCGATGAAAACAAGCTTAAGCAATGGCGACATCAAACAGTGCACACTCGGTAAGTAATCCTACAATTTTTTGTTTATAGCATAGTTTATACGGATTATTCCCAAAAAATTATACGTGTTTTGGAAATGTTAAGTCGAATTAGTCTAGAATCGATTAATTTTATGGAAAAAAACCTTTCAAACAGCCGTAGTCCGTAAACTTCACACATGTCGGGCTGTGATTGGCTCACGTATTTAAGGATTCCTACAACGCGAAATTCGTATAACGAGGAACGTATCTCCACGTTATATGGGGGGGTCTACTGTATTATTAACCTATAGACTAGGGCTGTCCAATTCATTTTGGAGGCGGGCCATCTAGTGAATCATACTTGCTTACACTCATGATTCTTCTATAAATGGATAGGTATTTGAATCAAACAAAGCTTTAAGTTGCACATGTTTTAATAATACTTAATAAAAAATACATCAATGAGACCTACGAAGGGGCTTATTAGCTAATAATTTTTCAATATTTGGTGACAAATCTGATGTCGATAATAATATCAAATTTGAAATATGAGACGCAGTTATAAGGAACAAAGTCTGAGCGTTATTTTTAGTTATTTTTTATTTTGCTTTTTATTCTATTTTTGTTTGGGGCTTATGTTTTGTTAGGACAAAGGTTTCCTCACCAATCACCTTAAAAACTTAAAAATAGAAGAAAGAGAACCAACTCACCGATGAGAAAAAGTGCCATAGAAAAAACTCGCACACACTTGCGCTCCCGAGCGGAAAAAAAGTAAGTCCGCACCGAGAAAGGAGGGGAGACCCCACAAGCACAACTTAGGAACTTGCTAAACCTTAAAGAATAAAACATCCTGAAATTGTAAACAAGAATAATGTAAATGGTTAGCGAGTATAGTTGGGTAATAGGCTGCCAGGCAGAAAGGAAAAGTTGACTGTTAGCGATAAGTATGTAAATGAGGGGAGTGATCTCACTCAGAATTGTGACATCACCTCGCAGTATAAAGTCCGAACCTCAAGTGATGACGACCGAGGTGAGCTTCTATTAGCAACGAGCATGGTGAGCTTCATAGCAGCAAACGACAAGAGGTGTCTGATAGCGATAAAGTGGTTTCAAGGTGATTTTGAAGTTATTCGATTTGTGGATCGAAGATTAGAGAAAGTCTTGAGAGTTGAGGAAAAAAGGCTCCTAGTATATTGAGGTGATGATTAGGAACTTAGTTCATAAGAATTGTTGAACATAAGTTAAGTCTTTTGAAATTTTTGTCGAGTTCCAAAGGGGAATAGATTTAAGTTAGCAAATAGATTGATTTGAGTTTTGTCAGGTTGATTCTTATTGATTTTTTTCTTTGAATAAATTTGCTGTTGATTGTTACTAAATTTTTGTACATAGTCATTATTAGAATTATTAAATATTGAATTTGATCTTGACTAACTTTGTCATTATTTAATTTGGTGCACGCTTAAAGTCCAGGCCTGGCATATTAACGTGAATCCTGTAAAGTACCCATTAGGTAACAGATATTTCCGGCACAAAGTCATGTCACTAATCGTTGTAAAAGGCATAAAAATAATATAGTACTTTACACAGTTAAAAAACTGCAATATTTATTTTTTACATAGTATAGAATAGAAAAAATCTTTTTGCAAATATATATTGAGCCAAATCTGCTTAAAACCTGCAAAACAAGATCACACATTACAGGGAAGTTTTCCCTAACCTAATCAAAATTTATGTATATGTAACTATTCAAACAACAATCTGAAGAAAGCATCCAATAATTTAATTTTAATACACAAAAGTCGACTCTAAACTAATAGAATAAGTGTAATAAACACGTAGGTTAAGTATAAACACAGCGGTGTGGTGGTGACTCAACTCATAGTTCATTCCGTGTTCAACCAATCGACCAATCACATGGCAGTTGGCATTATTGGTAGCATGACATCACGCATGGTGACAGCCAACTACTACTGTGGGCAGGCAAATTCAAATGTGTTGGTGTGCCACTTTGTGGCCTGCGGGCCTGGGTTTGGGCAGCCTTACTATAGACTTGCTATAGACATTCAAAGAACAAACTTCTGATGGAAACCGTAAGTTATGTTATTTCAATTCAAAAGTTTTTCTTTGGCAATCGAGTACGATGTACAGGGGCAAGACACTGCTAATTTGAAGATGGAGAGCACATATTTTAAACTAAATAAATTAAAAAATATGATTAAAAATTGCAGCCTGGCATTGTGACAACATTTTTATGTAATGAATTATATTTTCTAATTTATTATGTAAAATATTATTAAAACCTTATTATATTATTTTAAACTAATTAAATAATTATTTGTATTTAAATATTTATATCTTCTTATTCTAAAGTTAATAACATTTGAAAAACATTTAAGATTAATTAGTGTGTTATATAATTTGTATAAAATAAAAAACTCAACGAAGGGTAAACAACAATCAGTTAATATTATTTTTATTATATCAGTTAATATTATTGTTATAAAAGTCTTTGTTCCAATAATAAAATTATAAATAGAAATAAAATCATAAAATGATAATATTCTTAATATATATTTTTTGTCAATTGAGCTACCTGGTAGCTCAATAAAGAAAGTCTGTTTTCTTTAAGAATTTTTTCCTCAATTCTTGCATAAAAACTTAAAAACCGGTATAATTGTCCTATTAATAATTAATGTCCAAGTTGACAAAAAATATATATTAAGAAACTAAAGGAAAGTAAGGCAATAATAAATAATAATATTCTTATTTCAATTATTAAACACTAAGTACCTCTGATGTTTCACATTTAAGTGACATCATCAAATCCCATGTTTCTCTTTGATAAAGATGAATTTCTTTATCCACTGGCACAGCTAGAAACTAAAGTATAATTAAAATTAGAAATTATTTTTGCAACATATATAATATTCTTTTAAAATATACTACATATTCTATAGTAATTGATCTTTACAAAAATGCATTTATTTATACTTATTTACTGTTAGACTATTACTGTTAATATCAAAACACCGTGTCAAACTATTTTAACTGTTGTAGTGCATTTTTACACTATATTATATTATATTCATCACTTTGTATTATATATTTATCTAACGTCAATTCTAAAATAAATAAATAAATAAAATGAAATCTCTGGGAAAAACAACTCATATGTTCAGGATAGTGACTCAAATTTCAAAAATGTAATATTTGCAAATTCTAAAATTTTCTCTTTTCCAATTTTTCAAATATAAATAATAAAAAAATTTATTTTCAATATTTTCAGAAAACAACTTTGTGGGAAAGTAACAAATATTTTCCCATAAAGTCCATTAGGAAAAGATATTTCAAATTTGCCAACATATACATGAATTTGCAATCTTAAACATAATGTTTCTTTTTTTTTATTTTTAACATTATATTTCATTTCTTTTATTTAATTACTGTATTGTCCCAAATATAAGTTGATCCCCAATTTTGGAACCTTACTATTTGAAAAAAAATTAGGACCTGAATATAAATAAGTTGCTCTTTTAGTATTAGTCTTATTCACATACAGCATTATAATTTGCATAAAAAAACAAATTTGGAAAGTCATTGAAATAATATTTTATCAATGTCATTGTCATCATTCTTTTTTTTCATAAGAACTTTTATCGTCATTATTCCTGTTTCCTATTTCATTAATATTGACCTGTTCATTCCTCTAGATGGTGGGCTTTTTTTGGTTTTTATTATTCTTGTAGAGAGTTGGGCAACACAAAAAGCAGAGGTTGTTAAGCTCCAAGAAACATAAGCGGAATACTCCTCTATGGCATGTAGTATGTGATTCTATGTTTATGTGAATAAAATTGGAAAATTAACAAAGCTGATTTTTCATTGGATGGAGACACGACCAGGAACCTGGCATACGAACAAGACGGGTCAGGTGAGGGTTACGAAAAATAATTAATTGTTCAATGAGGACAGGACAGACCGGACACGACAAATATCATGCTCTTTTGTCTTCTTGAACTGTATATTATCTTCTTCTATCCAAGTTGTTGGTTAATACAACATTTCTTGAAACAATTTACAATTGTGTCTTTGCCAGCACTTCTCCAGGTTTCCTTGATTCTAATGGAAGTTAATTGATCAAAGGTTTCTTTACTTTACCAAATGGTGTTAGCTTATACTATCCTTCTAGAAGCCACTCTAAATATTGTGTATACATCATGTCTTTAAATGGCTTATTAACTGAAACATTGAGTAACTTAACTTAGAGGTTATGTTCTGAAGGCATAACCTCTAAGTTAAGAAAAACTTTATTTTATCTGCGAGATGTCCTTGAAAAGCATCCATCCATTATAAGCATAGTTGTACACTTCAGAAGGGCACGTGGATGACAAGTCTTCACTGAATTCAACCAGTCTAATGGTTGAATTCAGGTCATCAGTCATGTATAATGTTGGGCTACAATAAACAATCATTCCTGTTGGAATATCTTTGTGCAATATTTTATGTTTCAATACTACAAAGAATGGGATTTTCTTCCATTTCTGTGACTATTACTCTTAACTTTATAAATGAAGCCTGGAGAAGTGTTGACAAAGACACAATTGTAAATTGCTTCAAGAAATGTTTTGTTAACCAACAACTTGGATAAAACAGAAGATAATATACTGTTCATGGAGACAAAAGAGCTTGATGTTAATGAAATAAAAAATAGAAATAATGACAATAAAAGTTCTTATGAAAAAAAAAAAATGAAGAAGATGAAAGTAATAAAATATTGTTTCAATGACTTTCCAAATTTATTATTATTTCTTTTAAATAAAAATTGCTAATTTTCTGTATGCGAATAAGACTAATATTAAAAGAGCAACTTATATTCAGGTCCTAATTTTTTTTCAAAAAGTAGGGTTCCAAAACTTAGGATTTTAACTTATATTTGGTGCAATACAATAATTAATTAAGTCAGAAAATAATTTTATTATTAACATTAAAATTATTTTATATTTAATTTTTTTCAAAATTTGTAATCTTTTAAACAGAATTTCATCAGAAGTTATTTCTCAAGTATGAAGAGAGAATTGTTAGACCTGTGGGCCAATTACCTGCCTTAACCAATCATGTAATGTGAATCAACTTTAATTCAAGATTTAAAATTAAAATCTGCATATAATCCATCTCATCACACAACCCAAATCTCCTTTCAAATACAGGCAATCTGCAGGTTATCCATAGAAACTGTAGTATATTGTTTATGAAACTTATATTTATGCAGTCTTCTTTATTTTTTAAAAATAACAATATATCAAAATTTAAATAATTTCTAAATATCAGTTTGTAAATATCAGTTAGTTTGATAAAAACACATTTAAACTTATTCAAAGTTATTTAAGGTATAAAATCAAATCACTTCTTACTTTTCCTCTGTTAGGATGCCAACAAAGACGACATAAAGTTTTAGATAAACTGAAATTAAAACAACTGAATTTATATTCACATTTTAAATAAAAAAACTTTTATATCATTAAAAGAGGATATTTATATAGCACATTAAAATTCAATATCAATGAAACTTAAATTTACAATATGATGTAGAAACAAAAATTAATAACAAAAAGATTACAATTTATTAAACATAAGTACAAGCAAATTTTATAATTCATAGAAACCCAAAAACACTTTTTATTATGCATTATGTTTGAATATATTTTCATACACATTTTAATATAATATAGAACACTAATAATTGAATAATAATTAAAAATTTTTTTATATAGCTTCTAAATGTTTTGTACTACAATACTGTATAATACAGCATAAATGTTATAAGCTAAATCACTTTATTTAAATTAATTGTCATAAATAATTATTAATAATTAAAAGTATTAATTCTAATATAGATTAATAATTGTCATCAATAGAATTAAAAAACTGGAGAATAGCTATTTTTTTACCAATACCATAATATTATATAAAAATAGCTAGTTTTTTATATCACAATGAACATCAGTTTTTTTATTATGAATATAAGGTAACAATTTGGTATTACATCATAATATTACAAAGTTATTAGTGTTAACATTAATAATGTGCTTTTAATGAAGATATTATCAATACTTCAATTAACTGTTTGGCAATACAAATTTGTGATTAACTTACCAAAAATCATTGGATTTTGGTAATAAATTCATTACTTTTACACGAGTTTGATCTGACAATCTCCAAACACATACTGAACCATCACAACTGGAGGAAGCCTAATAAAATAACACATTAAATTTTAAAATTTTCAAACAAAAGTTAAATAAATGCTTTTTTTAATGTAACAAGCATTCAAGTTTACATGTAAAATATAAAAAAATATATTACAAAATAAAATTTAAAATTATCAATTTTAAGCTATTTCTATATAATAATTAAAAATTGTCAATAAGAAAATTTAGAAAACAAATTATTAAAACATTACCAGTAGTTATCTTAATTTGAATTAAACTATTTAGAATAATTTAATAAATTTATAGTTTTGCTATAGAAATATACTAAATGTAATGAAATAATGAATCTAATGCTATCAATTAAAATTATCAAACTTTTCAACAATTGCCAGACAAGACTGACTCAGTTAACAGAGTATTGGCTATTTTCCTTAAAATTGCTAGTTCAATCCATCATTTGTCAATTTCTACCTTTAATGATTGATAAAAATGTGAGCAACCGAACCTGATGAATTTTGACAGAAAATTCATTTTTTGTCTTTCAAAAATTTTTTCCCATTTTTATTACCAGAGAATGAGCGCATCTCTCTCTCCACAGTTGTTTCCTTTCCCAGGTAACTCATCGAACATGTCACTGGGAACTAAGAGCAATAATTCCTGATTGGTGAAAAAGAATAACATGATTTGAAGGTATAAAAAGAGTGACTCAAGGACAAGGGGTCGTCGAAAGTTTGCCAGTGCATCAACCAAGTGCCCTGAAAAAAAAAAAAAAAAAAAAGAGGTATCATTGTCGTCCAGGCTATCAAGGATTTCATACTCTGTTTTTTGACACCTTTGAACTCCCAGGATTATTATATCCTCCAGTTTTCCATTGGTTTGACTGCCGTCCATGAAGAAAAATTAATGCTTCCCCAACCGCTCCAACCGACTGACTGAAAGTCAGCAATCCGGAAATCTGCACAATTAAGTGCATCAAGGGTATCTATACCAACTTGCGAGAGTTTGTAAACTCTCTCTCTCTCCACCATTATTTGACAGCATAGAGCTATGCATTCTTTCTTTGTTGAATTAAATCGGTTATTTTAGTTGTTAACCTAGTATCTGAGTGATTCACTTCTGATCCGTTTCTCAACACTCTTCCATTCTGAATCCAACCGCCCACGCATGTGACCACTCGCGCAAATTCTGAAGTTGTGGCTGTTAAGGTTTCTGTGTCTAACCTGAAGATACAGTGGTGTCAGTCCTGACGAGGCACTAAAGAGATGCTGACTAGGGTTTCTCATTTCCCACTCTTTTGCTTGTCGCATAATTCCAGGATAAAAGTGAACTGTTTCCTGGGATAGAATTAATTATTTTTAAGATATACAAAATATCTTGAAATCAAATGATATAAGTATTTTTCATTTTTTAAAGTAATTTAATACGTTCCGCACCTCCAAAATCATATTAATAATGCTGTGTAAGATATATATTAAAAATTACCTTTGAATTACATAGAAATTTTCACAAATTGAAAAAATTTATTAAAGTTTGCTGGAAATTGCATATGATAACAACAACAACAAAAAAGAAAAAGCTTTGAATTGAGTTTAAAATTAAAAAAAATTAACTTAGATCAAACTTCTAACTTAAAATGTAATTTTCATTTTTTAAATAAAACATAATACAAAAAAAATTTTTTTTTACCGTATTGCACTATTCACTAGTAGACAGAAAACCGCTAGTTTTCCATTCGTTTCTGACTTTTGGATGCTTAATAAATCCCGAGTATTTAAACTGGTATAAAAATTAAGAAAAAGGTAAACAGGTTAACACAAAGAAAACCACTTTTATTTTAATAAATATACTTCACCCCAAATGCATTTCGCCTGCTAAGGCCTCCTCAGTAGGGTTTCTTACAACCAGAATGTACAATAGGAACAACATCCGCAAATGACACTTCTTTCTCAGTAGAAGATACAACAGAAGACGCTTTAACATCCATGAAAGACACATCTTTCTCACTAGTACCATCGCGTTTACAATCCTTAAATAACACTAACTCTTCCCAGCATTCCGCTGGCACCACTCCATTATTCAAATTCATAACATTACTTTGCATAATTATCGCAAAATGTTCTTTAAATTTTCTCTTAACTATATTTTTTTCCTTATGTATTATTTTTATATTATTAATATCCAATTGACAATTGTTCACGTGACAATGCAAAACAACAGGGGATGTATTAATTTTATTTTGTATTGCAGCCAAGTGTTCCGACATCAGCACTTTAAGTTTCCGCTTCGTTTCTCCAACGTAATAATACGGTACTCCACACGTACATTGAAGCCTATAAATCATTCCTTCTTCTTCTAAAAAATCTTTCTTTCTATAAGATTCAGTTCTAATTAATTCAGATAATCTATTTTTTTGAAATGGAGCCAATTGTATTAAATTTTCAAAAAAAATTTTTTTATATTTTTTGAAAATACCTTTGATATATGGAAAAGAAACATACTTATTAATTTCCTGCTTTTTCTTGAAATCTTCTTTTTAAGTATTCTTCATACTAATTCTCCAGCAATTTTTTCGGATAATTGTTCAATAAGTACTTTCTATTTATTTTTCTAATTTCTTCTATTCTTTTTTCACATCTAGTTGTTCTAGAAAATATCTTTCTTACTTCCATATTTTCTAGAACAACTAGATGTGAAAAAAGAATAGAAGAAATTAGAAAAATAAATAGAAAGTACTTATTGAACAATTATCCGAAAAAATTGCTGGAGAATTAGTATGAAGAATACTTAAAAAGAAGATTTCAAGAAAAAGCAGGAAATTAATAAGTATGTTTCTTTTCCATATATCAAAGGTATTTTCAAAAAATATAAAAAAATTTTTTTTGAAAATTTAATACAATTGGCTCCATTTCAAAAAAATAGATTATCTGAATTAATTAGAACTGAATCTTATAGAAAGAAAGATTTTTTAGAAGAAGAAGGAATGATTTATAGGCTTCAATGTACGTGTGGAGTACCGTATTATTACGTTGGAGAAACGAAGCGGAAACTTAAAGTGCTGATGTCGGAACACTTGGCTGCAATACAAAATAAAATTAATACATCCCCTGTTGTTTTGCATTGTCACGTGAACAATTGTCAATTGGATATTAATAATATAAAAATAATACATAAGGAAAAAAATATAGTTAAGAGAAAATTTAAAGAACATTTTGCGATAATTATGCAAAGTAATGTTATGAATTTGAATAATGGAGTGGTGCCAGCGGAATGCTGGGAAGAGTTAGTGTTATTTAAGGATTGTAAACGCGATGGTACTAGTGAGAAAGATGTGTCTTTCATGGATGTTAAAGCGTCTTCTGTTGTATCTTCTACTGAGAAAGAAGTGTCATTTGCGGATGTTGTTCCTATTGTACATTCTGGTTGTAAGAAACCCTACTGAGGAGGCCTTAGCAGGCGAAATGCATTTGGGGTGAAGTATATTTATTAAAATAAAAGTGGTTTTCTTTGTGTTAACCTGTTTACCTTTTTCTTAATTTTTATACCAGTTTAAATACTCGGGATTTATTAAGCATCCAAAAGTCAGAAACGAATGGAAAACTAGCGGTTTTCTGTCTATTAGTGAATAGTGCAATACGGTAAAAAATAGATTATCTGACTCCATTGGTTCTTTTTAGAATATATTTTTATTGATAATACAAAATATTATTGTAAATTTTTATAATAAGATTTTAAAAAGCAAAGATGGTCAATACTCCAATCACTCAATTTGATTCTTATTTTAGTAATGAAAAGTCCTGCTACCGAGAATGCCCTTTCCAATTCAATTGATGTGAGTGGAATTCTTTAATGCATTAATTAAACACATGTTGTGTGTTTTTTCGCCAGTAGCCTAAAAGATTTCTAGTTCGTTTTTGAGATTGTAGTACTTCTTTTGCTCTCTAGTATTCTTGATTTGGCTACCCCGGCTGCTTTAATAGAAAATCAATGATTGACGAGTTGAACTGGTGCGTTGATAGCAGTCAAGTAAGATTAATAGGATAACTTGTTAGGGTCAGCAGGATGGATGATGTATCCAAGATGAGCAACAAACTTTGGAAATGAACAAACTCTCAATGTAGATGAATTCTCATGTCGTCATCATATATTTCCTTTTATTTGGGGTTCCTCCCCTCTCTTCTCCTGCCCTTTTTTGGTAATGTTGATTTCTCCATCCAATAGTGATTTTTGTTGTTAGGTTCCACTTCCTTTCCCAGGTGACACATCGAATGTGTCACCTGGGAAAGGAAGTGACTCCAGCGAAAGGATATAATCATATCCTCTGACAATTAAATATTTTTTCACTGGAAAAATTTTACCACAAATAAATTTCAGAAAAATTTTTGTCAAGTCCGGGTTCTCACATCTCCATACCATCAGACTTACAGAATACTTAGCAGATTTTTTTTTTAGATACTAGGACTGTATGGTTCATGAGCTTGTTGTCAAATGCAGTCCATTATTGTCAAATAAAACACAGATTTTATATTATCACCGAAGACTATTTTCTTCCAATCTTATACACTCCAACTTTCCCTTTCTTTTAAACATTGTTTTTTCTGAAGTTTATTTAATGTAAGTTTGGAATTTGTGATTCATATCCTGAATTTTGTAAACATTGCCATGATGTTAACTAGAAACATTCATATCTGTTACTGACCACTTTCTTTGTAGTTCTGATATAGAATCAAAGTTCTTCAAAACTGCTTTCAGCATCTTCAGTCTCTTTCAGTAACATATCTTTTTCTTCCACAGTTTATTCTTTTTGAATGAAGCAGTACAACTTATCTAAGTCCAATATTATATTTAATCAACCAAAAATATTTTAGACCCACTTCCTTAGGCCACCTTCAATTGATACATCAAACTTAAACAATTTCTTCTTTTTGATTTTGAAGTGCCTTTTGTATTCCCTTTGAGTATTACTGTTACTATACATTGTGAAATCTTCACTATTTTATCAATTTCAGCATGAGTTTTACCTTCATTCTGTAGTGCAACTAACT